GGCAGAAAGTCGTAGGCCAGCTATTAACAACTGGTTCACACACACACACACACACACACACACAAACAGCAAGGGGGAGGGGGGTGTAGAGGAAAAGAGCAGAGTAAAGGCAGAGAGGAAATGGAGGACACCAAGTGGTTAAAATAAAAACTACGAGGCGCGCCTCGACCGGAGCGGAGAAACAAGCGTCTGGTCTGAACTGAGGAGCAGCGAGCAGCAGCTGAATTTCGTGAGCGCGTCGCCTCCGGGCGCTTCAGCGGCCGGTGTGTCCCCCAGCCTAAAACTGTCTGTGTTGTGTCAGTGTTGTGCCGTTGTCAGGTAAAAACTCTGCACTGCATTTGAATTTAAATCTGCCATCGCTATTGGCTAAGAGGTACCCTAGAATGATAGCTGGTACCATATGATGTCACAATGTCGTTGTGAGCCTGTGTGTGTGTATTTGTTAGCGGCTCCGCCCTCTCGGTCTGCCAGGCAACAGAATTTGTTGCATTTTTCAAACAGGAAGTGGGAGTTGAGTAAGAATCTGGTAGGGGGTGACTTGCTCTTTAAGTTTTTCTTTTTTTATGAGAGGGGACACAGCAGATGTTGATATCAGAAATTAAATCGGTATATCAGGAATAAAGCCAATATCGAGCATCCCTTTTTTCAATCTTCTGAGTACATGAAAACTGCAAATAAACGAGGATAAATATCATTTTAGAGGTGTTAGACATGCACAGATTTACGCATTTTATACAGTTAAGACTCATATGTCTTTATTGTTTGAAATGTAGGAATTTGTGGCCTCATTCACTCACTTTTCCTTAAATTTGCTGTGGTTTGTCAGAGGAGGGGATGAGTTTGAGTTTTACTTATTAATGTTCATGCTAAGCAGACGCGTCGTCTCTGATGGCTAACAGAAACACAACTCTTCTGCTGCTTTCAGTCGCTCTTTTCTCTTGGATAAAAAATGCAACGCCTTCTGCGGTCACAAGCCAAGGTGGGCGGGGCCATGAATAAACCAACTGTTTTCTTATCCATTTCCTTTCTACAGCTAAAGTTGAAGACATCAAGCGTGCATAAGACACTCAGCTTTGACCCGCTGTGTTTAAAAAAGAACAAGTTTAACGCCGTTTCTCAGTAAACGAGCCCTTTAAGGTGCGTGGGGACGATGCTGCGGTGACGTCTGAGGTATTTGCACGGGCATTTACTTTGTCTCACGGATCTAATCCAAATAGGATCTACGTCGGCCAGACAGTGCTCTGTGAGGAGCTGGATGTAGGAGAGGTTGTCACAATGCACTGAGACAGGGTCAGGTCGGCCTAAGCTGGATTAGGGAGGAGACAAAGCCGCTGAGACGGAGAAGTGGGCTTCAAGAAAACACGGCAACATGATAACAATGGATGATGATCTCACTTCAGCCACATGACCGGGAGTCACTGTTGAGCTACGTGACTCAAGGGTCAAGGGTCATTATCACATGATGCGTTGGAAGGTGTTCTAGGTCAGTGGGTGTGAGGTCAGAACATCGACGCCTTCTGATGAGACGAGTTTTTAATGAGGATTGTTTAAAGTATAAACTGGTTCAAATAATAACACACCAGTGAGAATAGCATGCGTCAGCAACTTAGCTTCCTGTTTGGTAAAGTCGACTTCAGGTGGAGCAAAATAATCTCTCATTTGTGTTGAAGGGATAAGCTTTCATATTTTAAAATCATCTTCTTGAGCCAGTGTGTGCTAAAACTGACCCTTTATAGGGTTACAGAAATGCCACCCAGACCCCCACCGCCCTCAGTGGCCAGAATACCACACTTGCAACTTCAGAGTGCCAGTCCGGTCCCTGTTGGACTCAGTAAAAGTGGAGTTGACATGCATGGAGCTGCAGTCTGCTTCCAGCACGTTTCCTGCGTGTTTTAGATCACGAACACAGCTGATTTGTTGAATTTAGCGATGAACCACTGCTGTAGACACTAATGAAGGCTGGGAGACATTTCAGCTGTTAGATTAAGGTGTTAAAAAGACAAACGCACAGCGAGGAGGTAAGTAATGCTTTTGGTTCTAGTAAACAGACACTAGGGGGTGCTAAAAGCAATTCAAAACTGCAAAGTCTCCTTTAACAGAATGATTTTAGGGCTCAGCTTGGAAATTTCTCAAATCTTCAAATGTGAACACAAAAAGATCCTTGAAGTGAAAATCATGCAGAGTTTTCGTTTAATTTCATTTGATAAACTAGAAATGACTCCAAAACTTTACTATCTGGTTCAAATGGAAGAATGTTATTCCTTTTCTGCCGTATTTGCAATACATATAATTGAATCGGATCATGCGACTGCTTTGCTTATTTGTAGTGCTGAAGGCCAATCACAACTCAGAGACTCCAATTGTAGCCAGAGGTTGAATTACTTGAATGTATTTTGTTTTCTGAATTTTAGAATGAGAAGGTAAAATATGGGTGCTTTTATTTTGAAGTGAGAAACGTTTTTGTTTAATGACATTTTTGTGCCCGGAAATTATGCAGAACTTTATTGTTTAAAGAGCAAGTCACCCCCTACCAGAGTGTTACTCCGCTCCCACTTCCTGTTTGAAAAATGCAACAAATGCTGTTGCCTAGCAGACCGAGAGGGCGGAGCCGCTAACAAATACACACACACACAGGCTCACAACGACATTGTGACATCATATGGTACCACCTAACGTTCTAGGGTACCTCTTAGCCAATAGCGATGGCAGATTTAAATTCAAATGCAGTGCAGAGTTTTTATAGCCTAGTGAACAAGACCACATTCTTGCTTTGCAAAGTTTGGTCCAGGAACGCGCCACTGGAACCTCTGCAGCCCCTACCAGGACTCTGGCTGGCCAATCACAGCTCTCAAGAGGGGTTTCAAAAGAGCTGTGATTGGTCCCTAATGGTGGGCCAATCATAGTGCTCTATCTGCTTAGTGAACAAATCACAGAGCTTTATCCGCTTTGCAGGCCAATCAGGGCACTCTATATGCCTGGTGGGTGGGATGATGCAACAGTGAAACAAGATGGCGACAGCTCGTTTGAAACGGCTTTTACATCCATGTTGGACTATTAGAACTTGGGCTCCATTAGAATCAGGAGCAGATAGATGTACATCTAAGAAAAAAATGATGTGTTTTCTCCTTTTTCAACTGCGGACCACCTCATTTACCGATGGCTGTTGCGGTGAGTATGTCACATTCATTGTCCAGTGGAATGCGGAGATCATTTGAAAGACAACGGTAGAACCCGCCCCACAACCGAGAGCCGTCAATGGAGCGTTGCCAGACTTTGCCATTTTACCTGACAACGGCACAACACTGACAGTTTTAGGTAGAAATTTTAAATTTGAACTAAAATGCACTAAAGTGCTAGCCTGGCAAGCCAGACTAAATAAATGTATTATTTAGTCTGGCCACGCTCCATTGACGGCTCTCGGTTGTGGGGCGGGTTCTACCGTTGTCTTTCAAATGATCTCCACATTCCACTGGACAATGAATGTGACGTACTCTTGTTTCACTCTGCTGCATCATCCCACCCACAAGGCATATAGAGTGCCCTGATTGGCCCACAAAGCGGATAAAGCTCTGATTTGTTCACTAAGCAGATAGAGCACTATGATTGGCCCACCATTATGGACCGATCACAGCTCTTTATGTGTTTGAAACCCCTCTAGAGAGCTGTGATTGGCTAGCCAGAGTCCTGGTAGGAGCTGCAGAGGTTCCAGTGGAGCATGCCTAGACCAAACTTTGCAAAGCAAGAATTTGGTCTAGTTCACTAGGCTACTAAAGTGCAAAACTACTGACTACACGTGTCTGCAGCACGATTAGGCACGCATTTATAAAGTTTATCAGAAGAAAAAAAGGTTGACTTGGGGGTGACTTGCTCTTTAAGGATAAACATAAAAGAAAAGGGACAAACAGAAAGACATAGGTCCAAAACATTCCCCAGCTTTTGCAGAATCAGTTGGTCTGCAGCTTTTCTGTGCGAGTTTCCCTAAATTCCCGCTACGCCGGTGGTGTCCAGTAGGGATGTGAATCTTAGAGCAACTCACGATTTGATTCGATTCCGATTCTCGGGGTGCCGATTCGATTCAGAATCGATTCTCAATTTAAATCGATTCACAATCAGTATTAACAAAGAGTGTCAGCTCCAGGATGAACTACTTTGTTGTACAAGTCAGTTAAAGCTATGGGACATTTTTATTTGACTTTAAACTGGTCGTGCTCCAAAAATGCTCATTTACAAGGTAAACTAAAGTGATTCTAAAACTGTAAACAGAAACAATCTTTTTACCAAGAGGCAGCATTTATTTTTGCTTACCTTGTAAAATATAACACATCTGTAGTTACCTAACAGTAGCTTTGAAAGTAATACGGGCAAATACTTTTCAAGTATGTGTGGAAACAAGTTACATGAGTAATCCTGAGTACTCATTTATCAACTTAGAAAGTAAATCAACTTAGAAAGTAAATATGAGAATATCTCATATTTCTGAGTATGGAAAAAATGACATTCAAGTGCCCTCTTATCAGCAGATTCAAACATAAATCATCTCAATTTATGGGACCACAAAAGTAATCGGAGTACTGACTCTCCTAACGAAGACCAAAAAAGTAGGTCTCAAACCTGTAATGTGCCAAATATTTGAGTTCTTGGAATCGATTCTGAACCTTTGTGAATCGATTCTGAATCTTTATAAATAAGAATCCCGATTCAGACTTGAATAGATTTTTTTTTTCAGCACCTCTAATGTCCAGACCTAGTCCTCGAGGGCCACCCCCTGGGTGATTTAAAGTGGTTCTGCTTCAGCACACCTGGTTTTATTCAGGCTTCTGCAGGTAAAAACAACTAAAACGTGCTGGACCGGAGTCCTCAGGGACCAGAGTTGGACCCGCCGTTGCTCTACACCATGTGACCAGAAGACCAAGCGGATCGTCGTGGATCAACAGGTGGCGTTCATCCATCAGGTGTGAGAAACAAACTGCAGTAGGACAGCACCATCATCAGTTACTTACTTGGAAGTCATTTTCTTTGTTTGACTGTCGGGAATCCCCTTTATTACAGGACATCTATCAACAAGAGAGAGAGGAAAGAACTATCCATGAATAAATACGAAGCCATGCATGAGCATCATCACCAAAATCCAAACATGCTCTCAGAGCCAACAGTACAGTAGGAGATGAAGCGCACGTCGACTCAGAAGACTGCTCGGCTCCTCTGGTTCCTACCTAACGCCACACAAAGAAACCCGACACCAGATGTTTCTATGTAAATAAATCACATATCTTCATCACTGAGGAGCCCTGCCTCCAGCTCGGTTAATCATCAGCCGCCGTGCTCTCGGACGGCTTTCTTAATCGTGTTGGCGTTCTGATGAAACATCGTTAACTCCTCCTGAGAGACGGCTGCAGTAACCTTGGAGAAGGACACGCCGATCTGGCTCACTCAAACATCCTGAGCAATAAAAGCCTGTTTACACACCCATTACCGATTCCACAAGTCCGAGTTAATAGGACGTCTCGTCAGGTGAATGCATGCATGGGGTATTTAAACAGGAGGGCTGAGGGGCAGCCGGCGGGTTCTGTTCACGGCGTTTCCTACAAACGGTGAACTGGAGATGAGGACGTCGCCCGCTGACGTCACACGACCCTTGAACTTTAGCTTCTTATCGTTTAAAATTCATCCCGCCGCTGCCAAAACGTTATCTTTGGAGGGGTTTTGTCACAGGTAGCAACGCGACAGGATGAGCCTGGAGTTGTGAACTCTGGACTCGGCCGCCACGTCGGGCTTCCAGGAAAGAAGTGAAAGAGAAGAAATGAGAAGCCTGATGACTCGTGTTGCCGTTTCGTTGATCTTGGGTTTTTTTTCTACTGCTTAAAGCTACAATCCGGAGTTTCCCTCTTTTTGGAAATTATATGTTTTTAGAAATCTGTAAAAGTGATAGTGTGACCCTTTACTGTGATGTAATCAGGCGAATACGTCTTTTTCTGCTAAGCCCGCTCCCTCGTCCCCTAGAGCTCCGTACAATTTGAACTGAACGTCAGTCAGCTTTAGCCGAAAGCATTAGACATCCGCTCACGTACGCGTTTGCAGAAGCACCTGGACTGATGTGGAGTTGGAGAGTCCTCATGGACAAGAAAGTCCTTAAAATACAAATAAATACAAGCAAACTGCAAAAAATGAGGAAAACAAGGTGATTCAGCTTTGTTGTGCAGGGGTGCCCAATCCTGGTCCTGGAGGCTCGGGATCCAGCGGGTTTTAGTTTTAACTAGGGATGGGTACCTTTGACATTTGAATCGATCCGGTACTAATTCCCGGTACCTAGGAATCGATACCGGTACTTAACGGTACCAATTTTCGATACTTTTGAGTGTTTATTATTTTAATTCTCTTTTATAATTAAATATATATTTTTCTCAATATATAACCATATTTGATAAATATCACGATAAATAACATACAACTGTTTGTATTTTAACATCGTCCTTGTAGTTTTATAAGCTGATAATTAAACTGAAGCAAACATCTTTACTGTGAACTAAATTTACTGTGTATCTTCATTCCTTTTGCCGTCCTTTTTCATTTGATTTTTCCTACTGGGAAGTTAGAATTTCCAAGGAGAAAGCGAACGCACCATTAGATGATAACAATGGTGGCAATGGAAGCTAACATATCAAGCTAACGTTATCTTAAACAGTTTATTTAGCTGCTGGAGCAGATTAAAACGATGATGCCTCACACTTAGATCGTTGTCGCTGGTTTCATCTTCATCCAATCACCCGTCGCATTTAGTAAAGTGAAGCCAAGCTTTAGCGTGCGTTCTTTCTACCATGCTGCTCTGTTTACAACTCACTCGCAGCAACCAACGACATAACGCTCTTGCGCATGCGCAGCTGTCTTGGCAAGTTCTCGTTATGAAGGATGGGTACCGAAACAAGGCACCGTTTGAAACGACGTGAATCGGTGCTCGGTCGGTACTATGGAATTCGGTCAGTACCTTAAAAAGTACCGAATTCGGTACCCATCCCTAGTTTTAACCTGCTTCAACACACCTGATTTCAGTCAGCAGGTGATTAGCAGGCTTCTGCAGAGCCTGATGAGCTGCTGCACAGGTGCTTCAACCACTGAATCTAGTGTGTTGGAGCAGAGAAACCACTAAACCTGCTGGATACCGGCCCTCCAGGACCAGGATTGGGCACCGCTGGACTAGAGCATTCACAAACGAGAGATTTTGCTTCTAGCTGTAATCACAGAAGTTGGGGGAGAGGCTTAAAGGTGCAATACGTTGTTTCCACTTCTAGATGGCGTCCTCAGGAAATACTCCGGATTTCAGCTTTAAAGATAAAAAAGCAGACTTCTTAACAACTAAAAACTACAAAACGGTTCAGATTTATGTAGTTTTTTTCCCACTCTGTGTCTTCCTGGCCTTTTTCTAGATGAGTGTGTGTTACATCTTTGAGTTAGGCTGAGACTTCAGAGATCTCATACTGTACCGTGGTTTTGGGTGGGTTCACCTGGGAACAAGAGCGCCCAAGGCACGCTCCTTTGGGAGGCCTACGGCAAAGAACACATGCATGTACAGCCATGGGGGTACATCACTACGTACAACAACGGGCTAACACACACACACACGCACGCACACACACACGTGAAGGCATAACTACACATGCATGTATACTCTAACATAAGCATATGGACTGCAGGCGCACACACAACCTCTGACGGTGAAACTGACACATCACACTGACCCCTGACCCCTGTTAGCCAAACGGTCTGAAAGTTTTACTTTAAATAAGATCTGTTTGACGTGTTTATTTCTGTTTTGTGTGTGTGTGTGTGTGTGTGTGTGTGTGTGTGTGTGTGTGTGTGTGTGTGTGTGTGTGTGTGTGTGTGTGTTTTAAAGCTAATTAGGGCTGCCCAATATTAGGAAAACCTGCGATATGCGATAACAGTGATTAAAATTGCGATGACGATATTACTTGCGATAAATTTAAAGAGCAAGTCACCCCCTACCAGAGTATTACTCCGCTCCCACTTCATGTTTGAAAAATGCAACAAATGCTGTTGCCTAGCAGACCGAGAGGGCGGAGCCGCTAACAAATACACACACACAGGCTCACAACGACATTGTGACATCATATGGTACCAGCTAACGTTCTAGGGTACCTCTTAGCCAATAGCGATGGCAGATTTAAATTCTAATGCAGTGCAGAGTTTTTACCTGACAACGGCACAACACTGAAAATTTAAATTTTAACTAAGATGCACTAAAGTGCAAAACTGTTGACGACACGTGTCTGCAGCACGATTAGACACACATTTATATAGTTTATCAGAAAAAATAGTTGATTTGGGGGTGACTTGCTCTTTAACGCAGGGACAAAAATAATCAAAAACATTAAAAAATGACTAAAAAAATCATAAAAATGAGAAAAGCAAATGACGTGAGGAAAGGGGGAAAAAACAATGAACAAGAAGAGGTAATCAGTGGATCCCGGGAAAAGCAGAATCAGCAGAAAGAGCAGAACAAAGCTAGCTCAGCTGTTTGCTAACCATCAAAATTAAGTGCCGTCTGCCTTGGGGGTGGGCGTCTAACCTATGAGAACCCACCTGATTGGCCAAATGGGTGAAGAGCTCTATTTGATTTGTTAAAAAAAACATCATGCTTCCGTTTGATTGACAGAACGCATCATGAGTAGCAAACATTTCAGCGATATTTATCTGTTGTTTGCAATATGCATATTGCGCATGCTGATATCGCGATAACGATATATTTACGATATATTGTGCAGCCCTAAAGCTAATGATAACAGACTAAACATCTCTGAGGGAGAGCTACTCTCCAGGTGTCTGGTCTACTTGCGTCTGCATGTCTGTGGGGTGAAACAAGTCCCACCTGCAGGATGGCCCCATAGAGGCGCAGCAGGACGCTCCTCGGCTCGTCCCCGACAGAGGCCAGGCTGTCGGGGAGGCTGCACAGGAACAGCTTGTTGCTCAGACCACCCCTGGAAGACAAAGTAGACACAACCCTTACACGGTGCTCAGGTTTTTGCTTTCTTATGGTTCTGAGGTGGACTCGAAGCAGGTTCTGGTCTCGTGTGTGCTGCTTTTAATAAACTGAATGAATATTGTGGTTTTAGCTTCTAAGCTGAATTAACATAAAATCCAGAAAATAAAACAGCTGTTAGTAGAGCAGCTATTCTCTTACTATAAAAGAGTGGTGCATCGTCTGTGAGTGTCCTCCTGAAACAAATATGCTGATTTGGTGTAATATTATAATTGTTTTAACCCCTTATGTATCTCAGTGGGGAAATGCTGGTGTCACAGCTACAAGCAAAGCAGATCACTGCTGATATTATTATTATTATTATTATTATTCGGTATTTCAAATTAGTCTGACCTCATCAACAAAACTGAATTAGGCCTAATGAAATAAAACAATGTTAACAAGGTAGCTCTGTGTCTAATAAAACCACAATACTCCCTGTGAGGGGCATCTGCTTAATCTAGACATTATATTCATCATAATTACATTTAAACTGATTAATTAACTACAACAAACACCCCAAAACCTCTCTGATGCATTCAGACACGTGACTGGTGCCATTTTCAGTATTTTCAGGAGTCTTAACGTCATCCTGGTTCCTCTGGCTCAGTGTTTAAGTATGACCTCATCTGATGCGGAAATAACGGTGCAGACTGACTCGTTCTGACCTTATGATGGTGATCTGGAAATCCTCCTCGGCCAGGTTTTTCCAGGCTCCGTGCAGGAACTCCCTGCACCACAGATACGCCTTGCGCCGTGTGTCCAGGTCGGGCTGGTCTGGGCGGACCAGCTCCTTGCAGACCTCCTGCGTGTCGGGCTGGACCTGCAGGACGTTCTCGGTCACCAGGAGACCCAGAGACATGGAGGGGGAAGAGGAGACCCCGTTGATGAATTTGGTTTTCATTTTTTTTTTTTTTCAAAGATAATTTTAACAAAGCAGAAAACGCAGTCCCCGCGTTTGGGTCGCAGGATAAATGTAATTCTTCTTTCGGATATAAAAGCAGGTTAATGAAGAATCGGTTGTTTCTTTATTTCTGCTTCAAGAAGAGGAGGGAGTGTCGTTTTAGGCTGATATCGAACGCAAAAAACGGACGAACGTCGTACGAAATCCGCTAAAAGCAGAGAATGAATCGAGGTTAGCAGATGCGCAGAATATTAGTGAGGTGGGCGGGAGTTAGGGGGGATGGCCACGCCCTCTCTCGCCGCTGATTGGCTAATAGAGAACAAAACGGTGCCGAACCGCAACAACCTGGGTGGTGCCTTCAGGGACGTTCGGACATTTAGAGGGAATGGCGAATTGGCAAACTTTTTTTTTTTTTTTTTTTTTTTAATTATAAAAGGTAACATACAAACAAAATGCACCTTACATTATATATTCAAAAGATAATCATTACATGCATATTCAACATTTTCACGTATATGAAAAAGAAAACAATACAAAAAAGAAAATCTAAAGCTGGGGTCATCTAATTAACAGATTATTAACTTACTAACTCAAAATCTTCTACAAAGGAAATAAAAAAACCAGCCTTTTTCTTTTTAACTAAATTTAAAGATTTAACTAATAATTTTAAGTCATTTTTCCAATAGGCTAGTGTTGGTTTGGTCTTAAAAAATCGACATTTATGTATAAACTGTTTAACGAATTGGCAAACTGTGAACTTCTTTTTCCTGTGAAGCGCTGAAATTAAATGAAGATACAAAAACAAATAACAGTTTTAAGTTATTTTAAATGATAAACGGACATATCGTGGGTGGCACAGTTGTTAGCACTGTTGCCTCGCCACAAGAAGGTTGCAGGTTTGAAACTCGGCTGTGGCTTTTCTGCGTGGAGTTGCATGTTCTCCCCATGCATGCGTGGGTTTCCTCCGGTTTCCGCCACATATCACACAACATGCCCCAACAACCTCCACCAGCAAGCAAGCTGGGTTAAATGTCTTGCCCAAGGACACAACAGCAGCATTCTCTGGTTGCAGCTGAGATTGAACCTTCAACCTTCCGATTACTGGACAACCCGGTCTACCTGATGAGCTACTGCTGTCACACTGTACATAGCTTTTATGAATATTCAAAACATCAATAACCTATTCAGCCTTAAATAACGACATGAAACACTAACTGCAAACAAAATAGTGTCATGTAAAACAGGACGATGCCGTAGGTCCCCTCTGCAGGAAGAGTGTATAACTCCACAGTTGAACTGGTACTGGCATTATATCAGTGCCCTATTCAGTGTATGTGCACATTTGTTAGCTGTTATGCTGTTTTTTTTATTTATTGTTGTTTTTGGAAACTCAATTTTCAAATTTTATTTATTGTTTTGATTGGTGAAGGTTACAAAAATAGCCTACTGCCTTTGTGTAATCACCTGTGTTATTTTCCCTAAGTGTATGTGCTGCCTGGATCAGGGAATTTTCCCACTGTGGGATTAATAAAGTCTATTCTATTTTATTCTATTCTATTCTAAATCACGTCATGTGGTAGTGGTAAAAATAAGACAGACAGAACTGTTCTCAAACTGTCTGCAAGAATTCATAGTGCAACTCATGGGAAAACCTAACAAAAAACTTAAAGTTATACAATTTCAAATTAAATCTCTAATCAGAAGCGGTAATGTGGTTTTTCATACATTTTGAAACAACCTAAGAATCCGCTCCAACATATTGGAAAATTAAATGAAGGGTATGTGGTACTCAAAATATTTTTATGTTTTAATCATTTGTTTACTTGTAGAAAGTCAAACTTTCTGACTTTCTGATGGTCATTGAACGCACCATCAGTCACATTTCTGGCTCGTCGGTCACGTAGCTTCTAACGAGTCCTCCAACTCACAGATTTATATATATATTATTATATATTATGTGCACGGAGCATCAGTCTGGCTCGTCGGTCACGTAGCATATATATATATATATATATATATATATATATATATATATATATATATATAATGTGCACGGATAGCTGCACAAGAGCAACAAATAAAATGAAGTATTATTTATCACTCATTGCGTTTTCAACTGTTATTCTTTCAGTTATATATTTTAGAATAGTTTTTTTTCTAACAAAATGTGTATCATCAAACCAAATGATCGTTCCTTGTTTTTTAAACTATATCTTGTGAGATAAATGTGATCTGTGAGGGTGTATTTTTCGTTTCTACAACGAGCCAAGACGAGTAAAACAGTCAGCAGTTCAATATTCCCGTACACAAAAGAAAAAAATTAAGAGCGCAATAGATTGAAAAAACAAATTATGCTTGTTAAATTCCACACAATTTTGTAGTCCAAAAAACTTTAACTGGCTGCAGAAACATTTAATTTATGACTGCTATATCCAACTAATGAAAACCGAAGTGTCAGGAAACATTTTCAATTTAGGAGATCAATCTTTAATCTTTCAACAGCAGAAGGACTAAATTATTACCTTTTCACAAACGTTTCTTTGTCATTCTGAGTATCAGAAAAATTAAACCAAAATGAAGAAATACTGTCACTTTCAGTCCCTGCATAAAATTCCAGGCAAGGCAAAAAAAAAAGAAAAAAAAAGTAATAAAATAAAATAAAAAAATAACTACTTTGCAACAAAGAAAGCTCACTTTTAGCGGTGCACTGTCTTAAAACGCCCACTAAAGGGAGCTCTAGCCTAGCACGTTACATAGCAATGGATTTTAATTTGATGTAAAATTCCAAATGACAGTTTTTACAAATTAAGTACTACAATACGGTTTAAAAAAATTAAACTAACATCTAAATTACATTATTTCCACCAGAATTCTCGTTACAATCACAGAAATGAGTTTCCAGAGCAAGTGCGTCTTTAAGGATTGGCGCTTGTTGATGACGTAATGGTCCAAAAGCCACAACAAAACTCAGCTGTTAGAAGCTAACTAGCCGGCCTAGTTACTCAAAGCTCTTCTTTAGGATTTCTTTTAAACCTTGTTTTTATTTTTATTTTTTTTTTTGCAGTTACTAATTAAGTCGTTCACGCACAATTTTCTTCATGATCGTTAAATCTGTATTGTAATTAGCTTCACTCATATGATTATTTTATTGTTAGCAGGCTAGCTATTAAACTGAGGAAGACGGGGGATTTTCCGACTGAAGGTAACCAAATAGTTATTATTTATTTATTTATTTATTTTATCAGAAAACAATGATATAACCTACACGCACATCTTTAATGGACATAATTATAAAATTCGTGCATGTTTTCCCGACCCTAACTGGGAAGTAAATAGGTTGGAGAGGAACATAACGGAAAAGATCAGTTTGAAGCTGCAGGTTTGACCTAAACCGTAACTTTTCAGTGTATAAAGGTGTGCATTCCAAATATATACTTTCTACGGTAGATTGTATTTTTAATGGTTAACGAAGGGAAATGATTGTAAGATGTGGGATGCAGAAGAAGTTGTCAACATCAGTATTTGATGAACTGTGATAAATGTGATGTTAGATGCTGGATCCCAACACAGATTTTGCAGAAGACCAAGGCAGACTGATGACAGGGTCATGGGTAGTCACATCTCACCGATGCACGTTAGAAGTGAAGACTGATCTGTGTTTTTGTTGTTGTTGTTTTGTGTATTTTTACAGTTATCAGCTCAGACACAAAGGATCTTTTTTTCCAGAGAGGGAATGCGTAATTAACCCGCATTACTCAACGAGGTGAAATCCTGCTTAATGCAAAGGGCTTTACAGTCTCACATTTAAGGCTCTTTTTGGCCTTGATGCTGAGTTTGAGTCATGTGAGCTGGTCGGAAATTTCCACTTTGGACTTTTCACTAATCTAACTGAACTCAAGTCTATTTGTCTGCAGTCAGTCATTTTGGAAGGTAGGGATCAAATCCAGGTGGATGAAAGTTGATGAAGGCAGGCCTCTTGTATTAGATGATAGTAAAAACAAGTTTAATGCAGAAGAACCATTTAACTGAGCTCTGAACAGGAACTGGAGTCCGTTTTTCTTTCACTTGCTGAAGGATTTATGAGTTTCTATCTGAACTCAGTGTAAATCATGTTTGCTTACGCAGCTATAAAGTAGAGACAAAACAGGTTTCATTCTGTTTATTCTTTTATCTTTATGGTTTTTCAGGGCAGAAATCTTTATGGAAAAGCTAGATCACAAGACCTCCCGGTGGAGATTCTGAGTTCCACCAGTGACCAGAAGCATTTCATCGTCATTCGATATGTCGCCACAGAAACGGCCTCTAGTCCCGGTGAGCAGCCGGCGGAAAGCAGCCGACGACTACTTCCCGTTTAACTCTCTGCCGGTGGAGTGCCAGCTGCACGTCCTGTCCTTCCTGAACGAGGTGGACAAATGCAGCTGCGCTCTGGTTTGCCTCAGCTGGAGCTGTCTTGTTCGGTCGTGGAAGCTGTGGCGGGTAGCAGATTACTCTCGTCGTGGCGTCTTTCATCTTGGCCAGGAGGGGCTGCTGGTTTCTAACCGTGAGTTTGAGAGGTGGAAGTCCTGGGTCCATCACTACACACACCACCTGATCTCCCGCCGAGCCAGTCTGCTGACGCTGAAAGCCAGCTTCGACCTGGGGGATCGCTGTAACAAGTGGAGCGAGCTGCTGAGCCACCTGCTAGATAACGTCCACTGCAGAGACCTCAGTCATCTGGATCTCAACTGGACCTTCACTCTGTTTGAACCGCTCAACCTCAGGGTCCACTCCAGCTCCAGTTCACACCAGGACAGCGTCACCAAAATGGATCAGGTACTTTTTCAATGGGAATAAAATCCTACAGTGTTACACTATCAAATATCGGGTGTTACATGTTTGAGTCTTTATTCACACAACCCAACAACCGCTTTTGTCGCGTAACTGCTTTTCAGGATCCAGGTAAAAGCCTCCAAACGCACGACAAAACGAAACTTCTCACCGCCGGTTTGTTTTTCTCTGCTTCGGCAGGTGGCCAGCTTTCAGGAGCTGCTGAGCAAACTCGCCCACAGCTGCCCGAGAATCTCCAAGATGAGGTTGCATTTTGATTGGTCGGATTTGTCGGTGTCACTTCTCAGCCAGTTCCAGCAGCTGCGAATCCTCGAGCTCAAATATTTCTGGGTCTTCAAACTAGTGACGCCCTCGACGCTGCAGACGCTGACCAAATCCCTGCCTAACCTCAGGTCCCTGACTTTGCACGTGCTGGTGCCGCTGAGAAACCTCGGCATCTCCTACACCCTGGAGTCGCCGTCGCTGGAGTTCCTGGACGTCTCGCCCAGCCGGGGCCTGGTCTTCTCCTGCCTGAAGCTGCCGGCCCTACGAGAGCTCCGAGCTAAGAAGATAGTGCGCGGCATCACACTGGACAGAAGGACCAGGCTACGCATCCAGAGTCGGTGGCCGTGCCTGTACCACGTCCTCCGGGAGGGGACGCCAAAGCTTCAGGCCCTGAACAATGAGAGGCTCCTCCCTACGTGGAGAGAGAACTGTTACGGCGAGCTGACGGCTATTCTGGAACAGTCCTGTTATTGTGTTCAGCATCTAGACAGCTGGCTGTGGTAGTCAGCTGACGGACATCATCACGCTCATTCGAATGAGTTGAGCGACACAGACTTTCATAAAAACTGAACTTTGACTCCAGGCGTCATCTGGTTCTTTACCAGAAATCTGCCATCATGGTGGGAAATGCATTCCTGAAGAGCCAGGAAGCCTCTAAAGGTGCTTCATGCTAGCTCGGCTTTGCTGCACTGACCCGAACAAAATGTTCTGCAAGCAGAACCCAGAACCACGGCCTTCATTTCCCCCCGCAGCTGCTTTAAATCCCACTTTTGTCAACGAAAGAACTAAAAAAAAAAAGATTAAAGGCAAAATATTTTCAGAAAAGTTTTATGTTTTACTAGTTTTAAAAAACTAGACCTGGGGTCTCATTTATCAATTTGATGTCTGATTTATTCACCCTCAGAGACGGCTGTCTGCTGTTTCTGACGAAAAGAAAGCAAAAGATAAAGCTGCACAGAAATTTGCACAAATGAGGTTCAGAGCAAGTGCGCAGTAACTATTTCAAACGGAACGTTCCTCGTTCTGAACGGCATATCTAAAGCAGCAGCTAGATGTGTTGCTTGCTGAGAACTGAAGCTAGTTGCGTGTCTGCCCCCCGATTCGGCTGCTGAATACTTTGCACATTCGGTGCTAAGCTGGTGTGATCCCAATCACAGCCTGCCAGGAATGTAAAAACCAGTTCATTCCAGCACCGGACCGCGTCTCTTACCTTAGGTGCTCCGTGTAGTTAGTGTGCTCCTTTCTGAGCACTGAAGTTGTGATTGTTTTGGTGTTTATGTGAAGAAATCCTGCAGCTCTTGATGTGTGCAAACTTTTTGCACAAATTCTGTACTTTTCTGTCTCTGTGGTGAAAAGATTGTTGCTCAGCTGTTTGCAGCTGCAGAAGAAAAAACAAAGCAAATGAAGTGGCGAGCTTTTTCCAGTTGTCCTGCTAATCAGCAGAGGTCCCTGTTTTCAAACTTTAGGTGGTGAAGGCCTCTCTGGAGCCCGAACGGGGCCCAGACCAGTAGACTGACAGGCGTTTGAGATTTGAAGAAGAAGAAAGAAAATGTCATTTCTAAAGCGCCTCTCAGGATAAAAATCGCGAGGCGCTTAGTTTGCCTGTTGTTCTCTGTTGAACGTAGGTTTCTGTCTGCTCCGTGTGCAGACAGAACTTCAGATGTGTTGAATGACTTCGTTGATGGCTGATTTCCTGTTTGTAAGCCATCGACTCCCTCCACGCGCGAGCAGGAAGCACTGACATTTAAACAGATGTTGCAACTTCTGGTTTCCATGTTCCACATAATAAAAAGATGGACTGTTTGGATTTTCCAGCTCTAGAGAATGGTGTCATGTTTGCTGTAACCCTCTGAGGTGATGTGTGAAACCCCTGAAGCAGCATGGATGTTAAAACGTCTCTCAGCAGCGTGTTAGTCACGCCGAATGGCTGCTTGCTTTTTAGACTCTATCAACACCTGGATGGTGGGAGCTTTCTTCAGCTGAATGAAGATAAGACTGAGATCCTCATCTGTGCCCCAGACAAGCTGGTTCCCAAAGTCAGAGACTCTCTTGGTCAGCTTGCTTCTCACACCAAACCTTCTGTCAGGAATCTTGGCGTGACCTTTGACCCAGCTCTCACCCTGGATTCTCATGTCAGTTCTCTTGTTGGCTCTTCCTTCTTCCATCTCAGGAACGTTGCTAAGCTGAGTCCCATTCTGTCCCGCTCTGAACTTGAGACAGTTCTCCACACCTTCATCTCCTCACGCTTAGACTACTGTAACTCTCTTTTCACGTGTCTGAGCAGAACCTCCCTGAACCGTCTACAGGTGGTTCAGAACGCCTGTGCTCGGCTTCTGACCAAGTCCTCCAAACACACCCACATCACCCCGCTTCTCCTCCAGCTTCACTGGCTGCCAGTCAACTTCAGGGTTCATTTCAAGATCCTGGTTCTGGTCTATAGGGCCTTACATGGACAAGCACCATCTTACATTGGTGATCTTCTTAGTCCCTACACCCCCAGCAGGTCCCTGAGGTCCAGTGATCAAAGCCTACTGGTTGTGCAGCACCAGGCTAAAGGTCAAAGGTGACAGATCATCTGCTGCTGTGGCCCCCAGACTCTGGACCTCTCTCCCCCTGAGCCTGAGATCAGTGGACTCAGTGGTCTCCTTTAAAAAGCAGCAGAAGACTCACTTGTTCAAGCTGGCTTTTGTATGACCTTCTTCACCTCTCTCTCTTTATTCTGCTCTCCCCACCTATTCCACCTTCCTCAGGATCCACTGGTTTCCCTCTTTCCTGTTCACTCTCTCTCTTTCTTAACATTTTTTAATTACAGATGTCTATTTTTGCTCATTTTAAATATACTTTTAAACATTTTCTAAATGCTTTTTTAATATTTTTACATATTTTGTTTTTGTGAAGCGCCTCATGATTTTTATCTTGAGAGGCGCTATAGAAATGATACTTTCTTCTTCTTTTTGTCCACCTGAGGTCAACCTTTGCTGCGTTTTCTTTAAAACTTCACAGCTCCCACCACGAACATCTGTTTTCTTTACAAACAACCACCTTTCCCGACTCTTTTCCCAGTCTGCCTATTTTCATCCCTTATTTTCCTCTCTTGAACTGAGGAATGTGAGCGCGGTGTGATGATGGTGGTCGTGGTTCCCAGAGGATGAGGCTGATTCGGTGTTCTCCCTGATCCTCGTTTGTTTTTCTCCACCTCTTCTACTCGGCCCCTTTCAGCTGTCCTCCCTTCAGTTACTTCTTCTTTGCTGGGAGGTTTTCAGACTCACAACGTCGCCGTGCGGATGCGCGTCTCTGGACCACAGCAAGGACTTGCCTACTTTCAGGGATCAAGGATAACGTCGCCCTCAGTGAGGAGCGAAGGTCTCATGACATTCGTTTGATTGGAATGTTCTTGCTGCGTGAGTTTTTATAAACAGGAAAAGCGAGGAAGAGTGTGATGGTTGGAGAGTGCCGTGTGAAGATTAAGCGTTCCGTGAGGTTTACCTAACCCTTGAATTAGTGGCAAGGACCAAGTAACCGCCTCCAGATGTGTGAGCAGTGTCTGACTATCTACAATGAGCATCGCCCTCGTCACACTTCAGCACTTGGTCTTTGCTCCTTCAGCAGTGCCCAGGTTAATGCTTAATCTACCTACGGAGCCATAATTGTTGGGACCAAGCCCCGTTTATGAGGTGGCTGTATCGTGGATGCCTACAGATCGGTGGGAAAGACCAGAGGCAGATCAGCTCAGAGGCTCTTCTCCAGGAACCTTCAAGGCTGACCAGAAGAAACCGCCGAAATGCCACCAAAAACCGGCTTATCCAAACTCTTTGCCGTTGCCTTCATCGTTCTGACCGCCGCTGCCATCGCCGGCATGGTCGCTATGCTGATCGTATACAAAACTCAAATCGCTGAGATGAACCCGACGCCTCGTCCAACCATGCCGTCCACCACCATGGCCCCACCGCCAGCGATGCGCCTGCCAAGGAACCTGCTACCCGAGAGCTACAACATCTTCATCCAGCTTCAACTGTACATAAAAATCATCGAAGAGGTGAACGTCACCTCCCCGAACCAGACTCTGCTCTTCTCCGGAAACTCTACCGTCCACTTCCACTGTGTGGAAAGAACGAGCCGCATCTACCTCCACAGCAACGGCCCGACAGTGTCTGCTCCACGTTTGATAGACAAAGACACAAACGAGCTGGTCAAGATCGACAGATACCTGCATCACGAAGACGAGAGTCATTTCTTAGAGCTTCAGTTGAGCGAATATTTAGAGGCAGGAAGGAACTACAGTTTGTTTCTGGCTTTCGAGGGAGAAATGTCCGAGAACCTGGAGGCCCTCTATGTCAGCAAATACGTTGAAAGTAGGCCTGCTTCGGAAAATGAAACCATTGCGGAAAGGTAAGCAAAGAGATAAAATAATCAGATCAGAAAACGTTAAGTGTTTAGGGCTTATAATTCCAGTTTTTATAGGGATGTTCTGATCACGATTTCTTGCTCCCGATTTGAGTCCAAGCCACTTGATTTGAAGAATCTGCCGATACCGAGTCCCGATCTGATACTTTAGAAATGCATGTAGAGAAATGTCCTTTAAGTTTTCTTCAATCATTCGTGCGTTTCTCGCTAACAGCTACATGTTATGGTACCTGAATTCCCAGGCTGCCTTAAACCGTGGCCCCTTACCGTGTGAAACGAAGAATATTCATGTGGAGGAACGTGTTGAACTTAAAATTAAACCATTTTATTCTGTTTGAAAATCTCTTTCTCAGGATGAACTTAAAAAAATTAAGTTTGTTGTTTTACATGGATAAATGATCTTTTCCAACCATGGACGTAATTTTCACTTTAGAAGTGCAGGGCACATGGGGGTGGGGGGTGGGGGGGTTATCTTTACAGTATGTTCTGATGGGAAACAGGCTTCAACACAAATGGTTGTTTTCCGCTTGATCCTAGAGCTCAACCAGTGTCAATTTAATATAAAGTAATATTGTTTTTGGATGGTAAAAAGTGCAGGGGTCAAAACTTGACTTTGGAAAAAGTGGGGGGGATATGCCCCCCCCCCCCCCCCCCCCCCCCCCCAAAAAAAAAGAAATTATGTCCATGTTTCCAACCGAATCCGATCCTTTGAAATTCACGTGATAGGATTGGAGCTTCCTTAATTTTTCATGGATTTTATGCATCCATTTCATCCTTTTTAGTCCCAAAATAAATAGAAAAAAAACCTTCCTGCTGCCACAAAATCTTTATTTATTTTACGTGCAGAGCCGTTGCAGGTCTGAAGACTCTGAGCAGCTTCTGTTCAGTTTAGGTTGGAAGTTTTTGATGCATCAAAGATGCGAGCAAACATACAAAATTAACGATGCTTTTAGATTAGAAACTGGAACTAAAATAAATCAATTAAAATATAAGCTTTGATTTTAAAACAAGCCATTCGTTTACCCTTGGGATGCATCGTTATCACATCAACCTCCTATTCAACCAAAACTCATTCCAGGATTAAAATCCTGCTCAAATTAAAAAATCCCGACCACAAATGTTTGCTCTTCTTTTTGCATGCCCAGATTTCTAGCAGCAACAAACTTGGAGCCAACAAACGCGAGGAGCCTGTTTCCTTGTTTCGACGAGCCGGACTTTAAGGCTGTTTTCTATCTGACGGTCATCCACAGACTGGAGACTACGGCTCTGTCAAACGCACCTGTTTCAGGTAAAACAAAGGATTTTAAAGAAGAATAGACTGCTTTAGCCTCTGATTATTGTCACTTATTTTGCTTTTTCTTCTCCCAGTCTCCAATATTATCGATGAAGAGTGGAAGTACACTCGATTTATGGCAACACCCAGGATGTCCAGCTACTTGCTTGCCTTCACAGTCTCAGAATTCACGGCAACAGACTCCCCAAACAGTCGTATTGTCATAAAGGTAGCTTCGTGGGCTCAAAATTCAATCAGAGTCTATAAATTTGGTTAAATACCTTTAAAAACATTCAGAAACTCTCTTTGATTGTGCCAAATTTGTGTAAATATAAAAGTAGATTTCTGTGTTTCACTCCTTCAGACTTACTCCCGTCCTGAGGCCACCGCAGCTGGACACGCCGTTTATGCCGCCAAAATGACACCAAAGATCCTGGAGTTCTACGAAAACCATTTTGATCTTCGATATCCAATGAAAACACTCGGTGAGACCTTCTCTCCATTTAATTCATGTAACAGATCCTAAATGAACTATTTTAGGGACATTACACCCAGAAGGGAAATGTTGCCTGTTGACATATTTCCCAGAGTTAGATAAGTGGGACAAACATTTTTTAACCAGCTCAGCCATTTTCCTGACCTGGCATTACTCTTTTTGCTTTAGCTTAGCATTAAACACAGTAAGTGAATGGGACCAACTAGCACTGTGAGTAAAAAAGTCCTTAAAACCACTCAGTGGTGATCCCAGTTCTGTTTGGTGACCTAAATAATCACATCGACTGCAAACGAAAACAAAAGTAATTACTGGCGACATTTTAGACTTGGAACTACTTTAAGACAAAGCCCAGCTGTAAGGGTCCACTAGTGATGGGAATTCCGGCTCTTTTTAGAGAGCCGGTTCTTTTGGCTCAGCTCACCAAAAAGAGCCGGCTCTTTCGGCTTCCAAGTGGCTCCTCAGATTTTCTGTTGCGTAGAGTACATTTATAACCAAAATAATGCAAAACTATATGTAAAATGATTTACTCATGTAAAAAAAATGCAATATATCAAATATTTATCATTTCTATGGATTTAATAACTGAACACTTTAAGAAATCAGAGATTTGAAGGCAGACTGTTCCAAAGTCTGGGGGCAATAGACTGAAAGGCCCTGAGTCTGATCCTCCCTCTTCCCCGCCCCTACTGCTCTGTGTGTGGACAGTCTGGACACACAGTCACACATGCTGACCAATCGCCTGTGGCTTTCACCAATGCAAGAGGGGGAGGGGAGGGGACGGCTCCCAAATGACGAGCCGGCTCCCGTCGTTCACTTCAAAGAGCCGGCTCTTAGATCCGGTTCGTTCGCGACCGACACATCACTAGTTTCCACCGAAAGACGCAAGGGCATGGGCTGACATGACAACGCTAAACACTGGTTCACTTTCTCAAATCACAAACGTAATTTACTCAAACTCCTGTAGATTATCTCTGTGCAGCTCGCGCTTCTGTTTTGTTTCTTTGTCTTAGCCGTTGGCAAGCAACGTGCGAATGTGTTTACGGAAGTAGGTGTCCTCGCGCCTTTTCGGTGGAAGCAGCTGTCATAAGTAGTCCCAAGTCCAACATGTCGCCTGCAATTCCTTCACGTGACTCTTTATTTTCACTTGCAGTCAGTATGATTATTAAGGTCACCAAGCAGAATTATTATCACTACTGAGTGATTTTAAAGACTTTTTTTTTTACTCCCAATGCTAGTTGAGCCCTTTCACTTACTGTGTTTTATGCTAAGCTAAAGCTAAAGGAGCACTGCCGGGTCAGGAGAATTACTGAGCTGCTTTAAAAGTTGTTTATTCACACTTTTCTAACGCATCACAGCAGAAACACCTAAGCAGATGTCTGCAGGTTGAATAAGTGAATAATTTATCTACGTCTGTGTGATTCCTTTCAGACCAAATTGCTCTGACCGACTTGGAACCTTTAGCGATGGAGAACTGGGGACTGATCACCTACCAAGAAGGAGCTTTGCTCTATCAGGAAGGAGTCTCGTCGTGGCTGCACAAGGAAGATATTGTTCACATCATTTCTCACGAGCTGGCACACCAGGTGAGAGGGGGAAATGAATATGTGCCGTTCCTGTTATACAGCGGACACGGTCGTTTTTATGGCTCATCTGGCTTGAACGCTCTGTGTTTAAGAAATGATAAAATAACATCAGAATGGTTGGACGACTTTGTGTTTTATTTTGCTTTTATTAACAGTGGTTTGGAAATCTGGTGACGATGAAGTGGTGGAATGAAGTTTGGCTGAATGAGGGCTTTGCCTCCTACATGTCCTACCTGGCGGTGGACAACGCCGAGCCCTCGTTTCAGATAGTAAGTAAAGATCGACGCCCCCTCTGTTAAAATCTGAAACGTTATATTAAGTATTCTTGCTGTAAGGAAACCTATTTCTAAATGTTTTTCTCCATAACGCCTATCTCGTTTAAGACCGATCTTAAAGAGGAAGCACTTGGAATCAGTCATCCACGCTTTCATCACCTCCCGCTTGGCCTACGCTAACACATTATTAGTTGGAACTCCTGTCTCTGCCTTGAACCGGTTGCAGGTTGTCCAAAATGCCGCTGCTTGGTTTTTAACAAACACAAGCCGACATAGCCGTATTACACCAGTCCTGCAACGTCTTCACTGGCTCCCCATCACATTTCGTGTGCGTTTTAAGATCTTGATGTTTGTTTTTAAAGCCCTACACGACCTAGCTCCTCCTTATCTGTCCGACCTGCTGACTCCCTATGTACCTACTCGTATGTTGAGGTCAGCTGACCGTCTACTGCTTTGCACTCCCCAGATGTCCTACAAATCACAAGGTGAACGTGCGTTTGTCCACGCTGCCCCATGCTCTGGAACTCACTGCCCATTACAGTCAGGCTGGCATCCTCTCTGCCTGTCTTTAAATCTCGTTTAAAAACATACTTTTATCACTTGGCTTTTAGACCGTGATTCATGTCATCCTGTTATGATTTTATAGTTTTTATTGTTGTGTTTTATTTTCTTATTGTTTTTACTTTTGTTTTAATTGATCCTGCCTGTTCAGCACTTTGGTCCGCTCTCACGCCGTGTCTTAAATTGTGCTATAGAAATAAAGTTGGTATGGTATGGTAAATTACAAATTATTGATTCATTTCAAGCTGAACACTTCAAACTGTCTTTACTTTAAAGGTCTTTAGTTGAAAGTTGATGTCCCTTTAATTCAAAATGATCTTTACATATCAAACTGGTAACTACTCCCAAGTATTTAACCTGCAGTGATGTCACAATCACCTGCAATGAGTCCAAAGTTGCAATGGTGGCACAACGAGGGGCGAAATCCTATACCTGCCCAGTTAACGATAAAAATAGAACTAATTTGCTCAAATCTTACCTCCAGTTATTACACGTCTTTGTGTTTGAATATTTATTTTAATAACGACTTACAGGAAAAAGGATTTCAACCCTGCATCATTGTGAGTGGCCATTGAACAGTTTTGTGGTTCCTTTCCTCAGAAAGACACAATGATTATGAGTGACCTCCATTCAGCATTTGAAGAAGATGCTCTGACTTCATCCCATCCTCTCAGCACTCCTCTGGAAGAAGTCCAGACAACTTCTCAGATCCTCGGGATGTTTGATGCAATAAGCTACAGTAAGGTAAAAGTGGCCAAGAAATTAATGTAAATTAATACATTTTCATGTAGCGCATTTCTAGTTTCGCCCACTGGATGTTCAATTTAACAGTGAACATCGGGAAATAGGAGATTTTTCAAAAATAGATTCTAATGACATTTTATGTTCAGCTTTTTGGTTTTGGGGAAATTGCATATTTTAAAACTGGAACCAACAAGGCTCAAACAATTTGGGATGACTGATCCCAAAGATCTTTCACTTATCACTTAATCTGACAAAGTTCTCGGCTAATGAAGGTTAATATCAGAAAGTTTAAGATCACTGTGACTTTTGTAGGATTTGTACAAACAGTTGGATGTCATCAGCAAATAAAATGTGCAACATTGTTCAGAGAAAGCTGGAGCTTAAATATAGAATAAAATGGGACTGAAGACTCACCCCTGAGGGACACCACGACTCAGCCTGATGCATGATAGTATAACTGAATTGAACATTTATTTTCATCATGTAAAAAGAAAGTAAAATAATAAAACACGCAATAATGAAAATATGCAAATGAAAAAAAACTAGAAAAATACTTACTGCAACACACCTCCTCCTATTACCTCAGTATCATTAACTAATTTGGCTTCCAATCAATAACATAATTAATTACTATTAATCTCATCATCACTCTAAAACTTATTGTTATTGAAATTTCTGACCTTTATCGAGATCATTTTTTCCACGTCAATAAATTTGATAATAAAACGAATGAAAAGATGTGTGTAGGTTGGAAACGTTCATGTCCCTTTAAGAAGCTGTAGCACCTTGAGTCACGTAAAAATGTGACTCAACGTAATACGCGTGACAGCCCCATCTAGTGGACAACTTTTGTTTCTGCGCATACCCGTCGTTATCGTCCATTTATGGTTATCGAGGTGAAATCCTCAACATATCGTGATATTGGTTTTAGGCCGTATCGCTCAGCCCTACTCTTCATATATCAGACAACACAACCAAGAACGCTCCACATCAGCAGCTAACCTGTTACCAAACTACAGTTACGAGTGGTGCTAATAAGGTTTCTGTCAGAAAAGAGAAGCACATAACGTTGTGATTTGTGTTTGTTTTTGAAGTTTTTATCTTTGACTTTAGGTAGTGATGTTAATGACAAAATGTTTTTGAACATGTCTGGACAAGAAGTAATTTACCCTCGATGAAAAAGCGCCTACGGACAAAAAAAGGCTCAATAAGCGAGGGTCGGATGAAGAAATGATACGAGTGCTTTCTTGCACAAACTGGTATTCATGAACAAATATGTGCTTACATCATGCAGTCTTTAAGAACACAAGCTAAGCATGACAAAGATGAGATATTGGACAAAAAATAAATGACATTATATTCAATAAATACAAGCATCTCTATGCCACTGTCTAAAGTAGGAATGTAATTATATTTTTGTTCTTCTGATGCCAGACAGACTTTCTAACAGGCCGTTCTATGTTTCCAGCACTAAAGACTTTTGAAAACTCTTTATTTGTTCTTGCTGTTCCACAAAGGATCATGCTTTATTTAGCTAAATTCATTTTCCCCTCGGGAGGGCGGCTGTTTATGATAAGATGTGCTTCGTGTTTTCCCTTCAGGGGGCGATGGTGCTGAGGATGCTGGCAGATTTTGTGGGAGAAGACAATTTTGACAACGGGATCAGAGTAAGAAACACTTTCTAAATCCACGTTGATATTTAGCCACGGCAGAGTCAGCCACACCTAGCAGGGTTGTGCAGTGACTCTTATACAAAGGTAGCTTCTGATATTTGTCCTTTTAGAGGTCATGTCAATACAGTAAACATGAGAAAATGCACATTTCCAACTCTTTTTGGCTCACCGTTACGCATGAGGTGATCACGGGTGGAGAAGAAAACCTCTGCAGAGGGAACTTGACATTTTAGTTGTTGAGATCTTTTGCGGCTGTGCAGTGGCGCAGTGGTTAGAGCTGTTGTCTTGCAGCAAGAAGGTCCTGGGTTCGCTTCCCGGCCTGGGATCTTTCTGCATGGAGTTAGCATGTTCTCCCTGTGCATGCGTGGGTTCTCTCCGGGTACTCCGGCTTCCTCCCACAGTCCAAAAACATGACTGTTAGGTTGATTGGTCTGTCTAAATTGTCCCTAGGTATGAGTGTGTGTGTGCATGATTGTTTGTCCTGTGTGTCTCTGTGTTGCCCTGCGATGGACTGGCTCTCTGTCCAGGGTGTACCCCGCCTGGTTGCCTGTTGACCGCTGGAGATAGGCACCAGCCCCCCCTGCGTGGACAAAGCGGGTTCAGAAGATGGATGGATGGAGATCTTTTGCATGCCTGCTCCCTCTCTGCACCAAAGTCTTAGAAAGCACGGAAAAAGGGTGGAAAATGACGTTTTGTAAAGACTCTTCCCGTGACTCACAGACAGCTGGGGGTCGATAAAACAAAGTGGGTTTGTTTAGCCGTGACTGGAGCCAAACATCTTCTGTTTTCCTTCATCTTAGTTTTCTTCAACGTCCAACTTTGAAAAACTAAAGAAAGTGATGGTGTTGCCTTTTGCGCTCTGTTAATAAATAACTAGATGACTATAAGAGCCCTCCAGGTTTTGAGGGAACATTTGAAGCTCTTTTAGATTTATTTGAAACTAGAATTTTTCATAATATAATCAAATGTTTCTTCTCTTCAGGCGTACCTGAAGGCCTTCAAAGGAAAGAACGTGGAGCAGAGCGACCTGTGGGACTTCATCCAAAGTGTAAAACAAAAGCTTGAATTAGTTTGGCTGATCTAGGCTATGATTATCGGAATATTAATAGGTTTGGTTTTGTTTTCACAGGTCAGGCAGGAAAAGGGCGTTTTCAGCATCGGAACATTGATGGAAAAGTGGACGACACAAATGGGTTATCCTGTCATCACCATCAACACAACCAACGGAGAAATCCACCAGAAACATTTCCTGTACAACAACTCTGCAGAATCTGAGTACGTACTTCCTACTTTTCCTAAAAGCACAAGTTGAGAATGACCATGTTGTCTGATAAATGACATTATGGAGCCGTTATCTGTTACGGCATGCACTTGGGTCATCGATTCAGCTGGACTTTAAAAAGTAAAACCTGCAAAATATTCTAGCAGCACCAATAAACAAAGACAACATGAAGAAGAAGAAGAAGAAGAAGAAGAAGAAGAAGAAGAAGAAGAAGAAGAAGAAGAAATCATTTCTATAGTGCCTCTCAAGATAAAAATCACAAGGCGTTTCACAAAAACAAAAAATATAAAAAAGCATTTAGAAAATGGTTGAAAATATATTTAAAATGAGCAAAAATAGACAATTGTGATTAAAAATGTTAAGAAAGAGAGAGAGTGAACAGGAAAGAGGGAATCCAGTGGATCCTGAGGAAGGTGGAATAGGTGGGGAGAGCAGAATAAAGAGAGAGAGGTGAAGAAGGTCATACAAAAGCCAGCTTGAACAAGTGAGTCTTCAGCTGCTTTTTAAAGGAGACCACTGAGTCCACTGATCTCAGGCTCAGGGGGAGAGAGGTCCAGAGTCTGGGGGCCACAGCAGCAGATGATCTGTCACCTTTGACCTTTAGCCTGGTGCTGCACAACCAGTAGGCTTTGATCACTGGACCTCAGGGACCTGCTGGGGGTGTAGGGACTAAGAAGATCACCAATGTAAGATGGTGCTTGTCCATGTAAGGCCCTATAGACCAGAACCAGGATCTTGAAATGAACCCTGAAGGTGACTGGCAGCCAGTGAAGCTGGAGGAGAAGCGGGGTGATGTGGGTGTGTTTGGAGGACTTGGTCAGAAGCCGAGCACAGGCGTTCTGAACCACCTGTAGACGGTTCAGGGAGGTTCTGCTCAGACAGTGAAAAGAGAGTTACAGTAGTCTAAGCGTGAGGAGATGAAGGTGTGGAGAACTGTCTCAAGTTCAGAGCGAGACAGAATGGGACTCAGCTTAGCAACGTTCCTGAGATGGAAGATGGAAGAGCCAACAAGAGAACTGACATGAGAATCCAGGGTGAGAGCTGGGTCAAAGGTCACACCAAGATTCCTGACAGAAGGTTTGGTGTGAGAAGCAAGCTGACCAAGAGAGTCTCTGACTTTGGGAACCAGCTTGTCTGGGGCACAGATGAGGATCTCAGTCTTATCTTCATTCAGCTGTAGAAAGCTCCCACCATCCAGGTTTTGATAGAGTCTAAGCAGGTGTGTAACAGCTGCAGCTTAGACATCTCATGGGGCTTAAAGGAGATGTACAGTTGGATGTCATCTGCATAAAGATGGTAGGAGATTCCTTTGAAGGAGCTCAGGATGTGCTGAAGAGGAAGCAGATAGAGGAGGAAGAGCAGAGGCCCCAGCACAGAACCTTGTTGGACACCATAATAATGGAAGTGTAAACACAGCAAATGATGAGTTTTTATTTCTAACAACATTTGTAAAACATCATTTTCTTCCCCTGGCTCCGTTATTCTTAATTATCTGTATCGTTTTTTTTTTTGTTTTGTTTTGTTTTTTTTGTTTTTAGCAAAATCTTTATAAAACATATTAAACCAAGTCCCCATCTTCTGCCTGAAGGAAGGAGGGTGAATACGGTTTAGGTCCTTCATCCTTGTTTTCCTTCATGCTTTCCAGAGCAGGTTATAGCCACATCCCACAATGTTCTACGTAGCTGGTGTTCTTAAGTAACCTTCCTGCTAAGTGACCTACAGTGATGTTCTTCTGCCTGTTTCAGGTTTCAAAACAGAGAAGGTGACTCCCTGCTTAGTTTACTGCCAGCGTGCACGAGCTCACCGCTGGTAGATTAGAGCAGATTTTTCTGTTTTAATCCCTGCAGAATATTTTCAGGCCATGCTTGCTATGCACGTGTGTGAACGTGCACGGCGTGATCTGGTTCTAAGGTGCTTCCGTTGCAGATGCACTTTCAGACCGAGACTCTGGTGCGATGTGGCCCAAATCTGGTCCTCCTGAAGCAGATTAGCTTGTCTTCTTTGTTTGCTTCTGCTTCATCTCCTCTAAGTTTAGGAAGATCTCACTTTCAATGCAAACTCAGTTCTTGGGTCTTATGAGAGACTTTTTGTTCCTCCTTGTTTAGTCTTTGGTGGCTCATCCCGATCAGATACGCGACAAAGAGCTCTTCTCCTTCTCTTGTCTGGCTGGACGTCAGAGGTCCAGGTAACATCACAACACAACAACACAAAAAACTCAACTGTTTTGGGGTTTTTATCCAAGAAAAAAACTTTGTTTATTTTTTATCACAAAAGCATAAATAAATGTCAAAAACCTGTGGAAGGCAGTGTTTCCTCTAGACTGAATGTGAGTTTAAACTCTTGCTTTAAGGTCTGATTTAGCCTAAAGGGGACAAAAACTTCTAAATATAATATTTATAATAAAAATCCAATCCAAGCCGACCTCCAGTGAATGGAACAACGACTCCAAGCTTCACAGCTCAGATAAATATCAATCAATCGATCAAAATTTATTTATGAAGCGCTTTTCATGCAAATGCAGCTCAAAGCGCTTTACAGTATTAAAAACAACCAGACCGCAGTCGCTTTCCCACCCCTCCCACCATGGATGTAATTTTCACTTTAGAAGTGGGGGGACACGGGAGGGGGGGGGTATCTTTACAGTATGCTCTAATGGGAAACAGGCTTCAACACAAACAGTTGTTAGTATTGTTTTTGGATGGCAAAAAGTGCAGGGGTCAAAACTTGACTTTGGAAAAAAGTGGGGGGGCCATGTCCCCCCTGTCCCCCCCAAAAATTACGTCCATGCCTCCCACACAGATTCACATAAGAGATCCCCTTTGTTTCTCCCTCCTCCCGCCCTCAATCCCGTCCCAAGCAGATGCAAACTCCCGCATGCACGCACACGCACACACACACGCACGCACGCACACACACACACGTAATAGAGAAAGGGCAGCTGGCTGAGTGCAGATGTAGTAGATACAAAGAAGACGAAAACACCATCAAAGGAGCCAACTGCACCGGGGGCACCAAGACTGGCAGCAATAGCCTTGGCAAGAGTAGGCAGGCGAAGCACCCCGGCCGCCACAGCCCACCACTGCCCCCGGGGCAGCCGGCCCCCACAGAGGAGACACTAGTTTACTAATGAGACTGAGGTAACAGTTAAGAAACAAATTAAACATAAACAGCTGAAAAATAAAAATCTAAATAAAACACAGTGATAAAAGATGACCAAGTAGAAACATATAATTACATTTATAAAATATTGTACAACAAAGTATTAAGACTGGTTAAAACTAATAATTATTACAAGTTAAAATAAATATGTAAGAAAATATGTTATTTAATTAAAAAGAGTAAGCAATAAAACACTGATTAAATATATATATAAAAAAATTTATTCTGCCGCAACAAAAAAGTAAAAATAAACAAAATCACAAAAATGCGTTTATGAATTCAAAAATGTGAGATTTAAAACCTTCACCCTGAACATCTGGACACATCACATCTGCTTTAGGTTTGCTTGGGGGTGGGGGTGGGGGGTCCTCTACATCACTGCGCCCCGAGGCCTCAGAGCCACAATCCATCCCAGATAAAACAAACAAATCTCCTTTTCTCTGCTTACGTTTTGATTTTTCTTGTGTGTTTTTTTTACACTGTTTCATGTGAATGTCTGCCTTTGGAACAGTGAGGAAAGAAGAATTCATTTCTAAGAATAAAGACTGGATCCTGGCTAACGTCAACTGCACCGGATATTATAGAGTCAATTACGACCCGGACAACTGGCAGCGCCTCATGACCCAGCTGGAAACCAACCCAAACGTAAGTGAACCGGGCCAGGTGCAGATTTGATGGAGCGACCGAACAACACCTCCGTAGAAAATACGTTGATTTATGAGAAAATCTAAATAAGTTTTTTTCCTTTCAAGACTAAAAGTGATACTTCACTGAAAAACCCATTTTCAATGTTTGTTTCTGATTCTAACGGGTCACTCTGAGTGTTTCATGCAGGCTGAACATAAAATAGTCTCCTACACCTATCTCCTTCTGATAGAAAACAGACGGTGAAACTCTAGGATTAGAAAATCCTGACAGATCTACGTCACGCTGTCACTAACATTCATGGACTCACCCATCTGGACTCACGACGGGGACGGCTGTTGTTGGTTCCAGGAAACAGCAGAGAGCGTCTCGGCTAGTAGATGCTAACCATTAGCATTAGCAACTCCACCACACAGCAGAACTCCTCCAGGCTTGTGTTATTTGTGGAGATAAATCATCAGCGTTGCAGAGCAAACAGAGTCAGTGCTAGAGTCGTGTTGCTGTTAGCCAATCAGAGGAGAGATATCAGGAAGTAAGACTTCAAATCCTGCCAGCTCTGATGTGGCTCACTTCGGCCCAATCCCAATACTCACACTTCCATATTTGCACCCTTCAAATGCGCAATCCCAGCCAGGGGTGCAAGTATGTAGGGTGTCCTGATGATCCACACTTCTCCCAAGTCTGCATCGATGCGGACTTGGAGAAGTGTATTCCCTACAATCCATTGCTGCAGCGGAGAAAAGGCTCGAGTGCCTTTTCTGAAATATGTATTTTCTAATGAAATTAGTTCGTTTTAGGATGATTAACTGATACTCTGAATGTTTTAGACAAAACAGCAATTAATGTAATTAAACAAAAGTTGTTAATAAAGTTTTATTTTTTTTGTTTTTTTGTTTGTTTTTCAAAAGTAGCACAGCGACAAGCATCCCGGCATGTGTTGTCCCAATTTGGCAATCATTTGCACACTTGTGTACCACCAACTTCAATCCTTACTACTTAGTTCCTCCAAGTGCGAAGACTGCAGGGTGCAGTGCGAGTTTTGGGATTGGGCCTTCTGGTTCGTGAAACAGGAAACACCGGAGCTTTCTTCCCCCCTGAGTATGACTAAGGCTACAAGGCATTCATTCCTACTAGAGACGACTGCAGATGTACTAAAAATACGAGTAAAGTACCACTTTAAAGACTTTAAGGACTCCGTAGTTTTCAGGAAGTTTATTTTTATTTTGCAATTTAAGAGAAGAGGCTGACCTGTTTTCCCATACTGCAGCAGTCCAAGCAAGGCAATTTCTTCAAATTATTCCATTTTAGTAGCCGTTAGCAGAGCACTGTGCCATTTGTGTGCGTCAGTGATATTTAGTCTACCAGGAAATCATGCGACAACAAAGGTTCCGCCTTGCTTGAAATGCAAGCTCTGATTAAATGTGCGCATTTTTTACAGTGTAATTTTTTTTCTCATTAATTAATCGTAACGAACGTGGAAAATTCCCACCCCTACTTTAAACACAAGCCAATCTCGATTTGAGATTCTTAATAACTGAATCATTTCAAATGGATCGCTTCTTTTTCCCGACAGCGACTCTGACTTATGTTGGAGAGGATTCCAAAAAAACAGAAATCTGGTGACCTTGACGCACTTCTGGCCTAAACTGGATTATATAAATCACCAGAAGTTTTTATGGGTAACAATAAAACCACCCAGTAGGTGTAGATTAGATTAGTTTATGTAACGATCTCCAAAAACATAAATAAAATAAACAGATGAGAAGTGAAAGGGGAGGTATTAAACCCCAAGTTAGGACAGCAGCAGCTCAGGAGGTAGAGCAGGTTGTCCAGTAGTCAGAAGGTTGCGAGTTCAATCCCGGTTGCTGTTGTGTCCTTGGACAAGACACTTAACCCACCTTTCCTGCTGGTGGTGGTTGGAGGGACCGGTGGTGCTCTGTCAGTGCGCCCCAGGGCAGCTGTAGCTACATCGCAGCTCATCCCCACCAGCGTGTGAATGGGTGAATGACTGATTGTGATGTAAAGCGCCTTGGGGGGTTGTAGAACCCTAAGAAGGCGCTATACAAATACATTTACCACTTTACCGTTTAAAAACAAAAAGACTTCAGCTGGATCAAACTTCCCACCGCTTGATTTAGCTAAACTCATCAGAGTGAAGCAGGTTTATGGTTTGTTGGCTTGTTTGTGTCTAAAGTCCTTTAAGGAAGTAGAGAAATAATCAGACGTGGCTTCTTATCAGACATTCTCCCTCCTGATAAAACATGATGTGTGCAGGAAATCCCAAAACCCAGACAGAAATAAACCTTTGAGCTTTACATTTGTTTTTTTTATTACTGAACTGTGTATTTTAGCAGAAATATTAAAATAATCATCCAGTTTGGTAGCTAGTTGTCGTTTCTCACCTAAAAAATGTGCAAATATTATAAAATCTTTCCTTTTTTTTTGCTTTCTGAAAAATAAAAACATTTACAGAGTTTGAATTTTCTTGAAGGCAGCAAAAAATAAATAATTTCATTTATGTTGCGTTTTAACATTTACAGGAGGAAAAACCACAAATGCACAAAATGTACTTTTTCATAAGAAAGCGGTTACATTTAAGCTTTATTTGGATTTAATTCTGTTTTTACTGAATCCATTTCAACAATAGTGGGTGGAGCCTGATCAGACTAATCAGCTTCCAAGTTTAAAGGAAACTCCAAAATATGCAGGGAAATAATAAACATTTAGATCAGAAATGTGTTGATTGTTGCAGAAATAAATAAATAAACTGACATTAATATTTCGTTTGTCTTTCCAGCGAATCCCACTGATGAACAGAGGGCAGCTCGTCGATGACGCCTTTAACTTGGCTAGGTGACGCTGACATTTCACTTCCTTAAAAGAAATACAGAAATAATCATCAGATTGTTGTGGAGGGAATGTAAAAACGGATTTCCTACGGGAGGAAGGAAGGGATTATTGTCATGTTTACTGATGAAAGCTGCGGTGGAGGAGAAAACAAAGAAATCCAGACAAATGCACTCAGATGGGAGAATTTCTTGTTTCTTTTAGCAATTTTTCCTACTTTTTTTAAACACGGAAAAGTTTTTTTAAGGTTAAAAAAAACTTTTCTGAACTTAAAAATGCATTCAGGACCAAAACATGGAATGGATGTACAACATATGTTCTTGTTTCTTTTATTGAATATGTTTGAGCTGCAGATTCTGTAACTTTATCTCCAGATATGTTATTTAGATTCATTTAAATCAAGTTAAGCTCCATCGACAGGAAGTAAAGTATATTTTTGCAGTGTTTCAAAGGAGATTTGCACAGGCTTTTGGTGCAGGAAGGACCGGTTTAAGATGTTTATCAAATCCTGCAACATTCTCCACCTCGGGTTAAAGGTTAGAAGAGACTCTGAGCCCGAGGCGGACTTTATTTTATTGTTTTGTTCAGAGGCTGCTAAGCTGAGAAACCCTAAACATCCTGGCTGTTTCAGCTTCTGGAAGACATTCCATCCATCCATCCATTCATTCATTTTCATCCGCTTATCTGGAGTCGGGTCGCGGGGGCAGTAGCCTAAGGCGAGAGGCCCAGACTTCCCTCTCCCCAGCCACTTGGGCCAGCTCCTCCGGGGACATCCCAAGGTGTTTCCTGGCCAGGTGAGAGACATAGTCCCTCCAGCGTGTCCTGGGTCTACCTTTAGGCCTCCTCCCGGTTGGACGTGCCCGGAAAACCTCACCAGGGAGGTGTCCAGGAGGGATCCTGACCAGATGCCCGAGCCACCTCAACTGGCTCCTCTTGATGTGGAGGAGCAGCGGGTCTACTCTGAGCCTTTCCCGGATGACCGAGATTCTCACTCTATCTCTAAGGGAGAACCCAGACACTCTGGAGAAAACTCATTTCGGCCGCTTGTATCCGCGATCTCGTTCTTTCGGTCACTACCCAAAGCTCATGACCATAGGTGAGGGTAGGAACGTAGATCGACCTGTAAATCGAGAGCTTCGCCTTCTGACTCAGCTCTCTCTTCACCACGACAGACCGGTACAACGCCCGCATCACTGAAGATGCAGCACCAATCCTCCTATCGATCTCACGCTCCAGTTTGCCCTCACTCGTGAACAAGACCCCGAGATACTTAAACTCCTCCACTTGGGGCAGGACCTCGTCCCTGACCCGGAGAAGGCATTCTACCCTTTTCCAAATCAAGAACATGGTCTCAGATTTAGAGGAGCTGATTCTCATCCCAGCTGCTTCACACTCGGCTGCGAACTGCTCCAGCGAAAGCTGAAGATCACGTTCTGATGAAGCCAACAGGACCACAACATCTGCAAAAAGCAGAGGCCTGATCCTCAGGCCACATAAACGGATGCCCTCCACACCTTGGCTGCAACCAGAAATCCTGTCCATAAAGGTTATGAACAGAATCGGTGACAAAGGGCAGCCTTGGGGGAGTCCAACACTCAATGGGAACGAGCCCGACTTACTGCCGGCAATGCGGACCAAGCTCTGACACCGGTCATACAGGGACCTAACAGCCCGTATCAGAGGGCCTGGTACCCCATACTCCCGGAGTACCCCCCCACAGGCCCCCCGAGGGACGCGGTCAAACGCCTTCTCCAAATCCACAAAACACATGTAGACTGGTTGGGCAAATTCCCACGAACCCTCCAGGATCCCCCTAAGGGTGTAGAGCTGGTCCAGAGTTCCACGGCCAGGATGAAAACAACATCGCTCCTCCTGAATCTGAGGTTCAACAATCCGACGGACCCTCCTCTCCAGAACCCCTGAATAGACCTTACCAGGAAGGCTCAGGAGTGGGATCCCCCTGTAGTTGGAACACACCCTGCGGCCCCCCTTTTTAAATAAGGGGACCACCACCCCGGTCTGCCAGTCCAGTAGGACTGCCCCCGATGTCCATTCGATATTGCAGAGCCGCGTCAGCCAACACAGCCCCACAACATCCAGAGCTTTAAGGAAATCCAGGTGGATCTCATCCACCCCTGGAGCCTTGCCACAGAGGAGCTTTTTAACCACCTCAGTGACCTCAGCACCAGAGATTTGAGAGGCCAACCCAAAGTCCCCAGACTCTGCTTCCACACTGGAAGACGTGTCGGTGGGATTGAGGAGGTCCTCGAAGTATTCTGCCCACCGATCCACAACGTCCTGAGTAGAGGTCAGCAGCACACCGTCCCCACTATAGATAGTGTTGGTAGCGCACTGCCCCCCCCCCCCCCCCCCCCCCCCCGAGGCGCCAGATGGTGGACCAGAATCTCCTCGAAGCCGTACGGAAGTCTTGCTCCATGGTCTCACCAAACTCCTCCCACGCCCAGGTTTTTGCCTCGGCGACCACCCGAGCCGCGTTCCGCTTGGACCGCCGGTACCCGTCAGCTGCCTCTGGAGTCCCACAGGCCAAAAAGACCTGATAGGACTCTTTCTTCAGCTTGACAGCATCCCTAACCGCCGGCGTCCACCAGCGGGTTCAGGGCTTGCCACCACGACAGGCACCGACGATCCTGCAACCACAGCTTCGGTCGGCCGCCTCAACAATAGAGGCACGGAACAGGGTCCATTCAGACTCTATGTCCCCCGCCTCCCCCGGAACATTTTGGAAGTTCTGTCGGAGGTGGGAATTGAAACTCCTTCTGACAGGAGACTCTGCCAGACATTCCCAGCAGACCCTCGCGATACGTTTGGGCCTGCCTGGTCTGACCGGCATCCTCCCCCACCATCTGAGCCAACTCACCACCAGGTAGTGGTCAGTTGACAGCTCCGCCCCTCTCTTCACCCGAGTGTCCAAGACATGCGGCCGCAGGTCAGATGAATCAACAAAGTTGATCATCGAGCTGTGGCCTAAGGTATCCTGGTGCCTAAAGCACATATGGACACCTTTATGTCTGAACATGGTGTTCATTATGGACAATCCATGGCTGGCACAGAAGTCCAATAACAAAACACCACTCAAATTCAGATCAGGGGGGCCGTTCCTCCCGCCCACACCTCTCCAGGTCTCACTGTCGTTGCCCACGTGAGCGTTAAAGTCCCCCAGCAGAACGAGGGAGTCACCGGAAGGAGCGCTTTCCAGCACCCCCTCCAAGGTCTCCAAAAAGGGTGGGTAGTCTGAACTGTAGTTTGGTGCATAAGCACAGACCAGTCAGAACCCGTCCCCCCACATGTAGGCGGAGGGAGGCTACCCTCTCATTCACTGGGGTAAACCCCAACGTACAGGCACCAAGATGGGGGGCAACTAGTATGCCCACCCCTGCTCGGCGCCTCTCAGTGGGAGCAACCCCAGACTGGTAGAAAGTCCACCCCCTCTCAAGGAAACTAGTTCCAGAGCCAGAGCCATGCGTTGAGGTGAGTCCGACTATATCTAGTCGGAACCTCTCAACCTCACACACCAACTCAGACTCCTCCCCCACCAGAGAGGTGGCATTCCATGCAACAAGAGCGAGCTTCTGTAGCCGAGGATCAGACCACCAAGGTCCCCACCCTCGACTACCACCCGTCACACACTGCACCCGACCCCTTTGGCCCCTCCCACTAGTGGTGAGCCCATGGGAAGGGGGACCCACGTTTCCTCTTCGGGTTGTGCCCGGCCAGGCTCCATGGGTGAAAGCCTGGCCACCAGGCTCTCATTAACATGCCCCACCTCCAGGCCTGGCTCCAGAGGGGGGCCCCGGTGACCCACGTCCGGGCGAGGGAACACGGTTTCCATTTATATAATTCATCATAAGAGGTCTTCGGGCTGCTCTTTGTCTGATCCCTCACCTAGGACCTGTTTGCCATGGGTGACCCTACCAGAGGCAGAAAGCCTCAGACAACTTAGCTCCTAGGATCACTGAGACACTCAAACCCCTCCACCACGATGAGGAGGCAGCCTAGGGGGAGGCATTGCACCCTTTATTTTAAACACACCCTTGACTTGTGTCTGGAAAACAAAATTCCCATTGTTTCCTTCTGGAGCTGCAATCTTCTTCTGGGGAAACCTGCCTTTATGTTTTGGGATGTGGTGCACATAAGAGTTAAATCTGCATTTCAGAGTGATTTACAGCTGCAGCATCTGCACTTATAGAAAATACAATTGCTGACAGAAGCGACCACATTTAAAAATAGGATTATTGATGCTTCACTTCAGCCACAGCTTGATTTATTTGCTGTCGTTGATTGTGCACAAGTAACGCCACTGTTGGCACTTGCGCTGCTTTCCAAGACGACTGAGCCCTAACTGGAGTCTGCTCTCGGTTTTCCTCAGAGCTGAGCTGGTGAATGTGACTCTGGCTCTGAATTCAACTCGTTTCCTCCGTCATGAGACGGCCTACCTCCCCTGGGAGTCAGCGGTCAGGAATCTGGAGTACTTTGTCTTGATGTTTGACCGATCCGAGGTGTACGGACCCATGCAGGTGTGTGCGTGCTTTTGTCTCGTGAATCATTCAGCTGAGGAAACAAGCATCACTTCCCTGACAGTAAACACGTCCTGCAGGTCTACCTCCGGGAACAGGTCAAAGAGCTCTATAACTTCTTCAGGAACTACACGGACAACTCGACTGTCCCAGAGGATCACTCTTTACAGTAAGACAACGATTGGTCTTTGTGTCAAGCATTTGATATGAAGGTCTGTTTGTTGTTGAGGCTGTTTTTCTGTTGTTTTTGTAATAAATAAAACCGTTGTTGATCTTCAGACACAACCAGATCATTGCCATCGATGTGGCCTGTTCCAACGGACTCCCAGAATGCATCGAGATGGCTCGGTCAAAGTTCGCTGGCTGGATGAAGAGCAACGACACCAACGAGTAAGGACTGTGATCCGTCTAATTTCTGCGCCTTCCTTTAAACCGCATTAACAGCTTTCCTTGCATTCTGTAGCTTTCTCTTCAGCACTGAGTTAGTGAAGGTAGGTTTCTTCTTCTCACTTTGGATCGTGCGTTGATGCCTGCTGGTCACTTTAAAGTTGCGCTTGTCAGAGCTGTCTGGTTCCATAAAAATCATGATAATATAGAAAAAAATAAGCTAATCTTTTACTTCTACATTTTGTATCTTTCATTTTGGGATTTGGACATGGACGTAATTTTTTTTGGTGGGGGGGGGGGGGCATGTCCCCCCCACTTTTTCCAAAGTCAAGTGTTGACCCCTGCACTTTTTACCATCCAAAAACAATATTACGCTATATTTGGAGCCTTTCGAGGTGCAACTTTGAAACCAGAGGCGGCCTTTTTGTAGAATGTGCATGGAGCGTCTGGAGTTTTTTCATCAGCACGTACCCACAACTGCATGTTTGTGCAATCTTGTTGTCGTAAACACATTTCATGATGTCTCGCTCCAACTGGTTAACGAGAGCCTTCATTTGGGACAGGAAATGTGCTTTTTGTTCTGATGCCTTTAAAATGTAAGTAAAGCAGAGCAGGACGGGGCCAAAGCAGCAATGCCACAGAACTGCCGAAAAAACGCAACACCCAAAATCTGCACACATTTTTAATCCGCGCCCTAACTGTGAGAGGATTTCCTGCAGGAGCATTCTCATAGCCCTACCCCAACAGCAGATTAGCACTGATGACAGCCTCTGTGTGGGGTGCAAACTGTTTGTTTGTTTGTAAGTCTGAGTAGAAATGAAACCTCAAACTTCAGGGGTAATCATATTTTAGCATCTGAGCAGATCCTGCCAATGGGAAGAAGAAACACGGTTAAAACAAATCAGAAAACACCTCCAAAAGAGATGATTGAAGATCTCATCTTATTTTTTTTACCTTCCTCAGCACACATACAGGTCCCTGATTGTGTTTCCCTCTGACTTTAAATGTCTGAAAGCAGAAAAACCAAAAAAACTCAAATATAAATAAAGATGTTCTGCGAGTTTGTGAGAAGTCAATAAAAATGCCAAGCCAAAGGGTTCTCTCTAATCAGAAACATGCAAAAATCCTTCAATTAGTGAAATGAAATGTTTGTGATTCAGCATCCACACCAATCTGAGGGCTGTAATCTACTGCCAAGCTGTGGCTGCTGGCGACAAGAAGGAGTGGGAGTTCGCCTGGGAGAAGTTTCAGAGCTCCACCGACACGTCAGAGAAAGACCAGCTAAGAAAAGCTCTGGCGTGCACCAAGAAGACCTGGCTGCTCAGCAGGTGACGTGACGCCTTCTTTAGCTGCAGACACACCCATGATACGGTGAATCCCGGCCATGCAGGTGTAACGAGGGAAATGTTCCTTATCTTGCAGATACCTGGAATACACTTTGGACCCTGACAAGATACGGCTGATGGATGTTGCTTCTACGGTTTACTTCATAGCTCAAAACGCTGCGGGGCAAGCGCTGGCCTGGAACTTTATCAGAGCCAACTGGGACTACGTCAGTCAGGGGTAGGCTACCGTTTGAGCACCAATCCCGTTCTGAGTCAGAAACAAGTAAATAAACTTGAATCAAGCTGAACTTTCACTCCAGGATCATCTCAGGTTGGGGAGACCGAGAATGAGTTTAGGCAGCTCGTGCAGATCAAAACTTTCTTTCTTTGGGGTTCAGATTTTTGCTAGTAGGTATTTTTTGGAGGAGAAAAAAAATTTGCATTAAATAAATTTGTCATTTTTCAATTACTTAAAGGAATATTCAACCCAAAAGTTAAATTTGGTCTGTTGACATATTTCCCAGAGTTAGGTAAGTGGGAACCAGCACAGCCCTTCCCCTGAGCTGGATGTACTTCTTTAGCTTAGCATAAAACACAGTAAGTGAATGGGACCAACTAGCATTGTGAGCCAAAAAGTCCTTAAATCACTCAGTAGTGATCCCAATTCTGTGTGTGTGTGTGTGTGCGTGCGTGCGTGTGTGTGTGCTGAGCCAGGATCCTCTGGAGGTTTCTTCCTGTTAAAAGGGAGTTTTCCTCTCTACTGTCGCTGCATGCTTGCTTAGTATGAGGATTGCTGTAAAACTTGCAAGCTGCTGGGTTCCTTAAATTTGAAACTTTTTTCTGATTGGTTTGAATCTAACTTGGAAATATGTCAACAGAGAAAATGACACTTTTGGGTGGAAAAAAAACATTTTTGTGAGCAAAGCTACGAACCTGAACCCTCGTCTGGAGAGGTTTCGACACCCCTGATTCAGCTTTTCTTTCACTTCCAGAAAAGGAAAACTTGGACAAACAGGGTTTCTGCCATCAAACACATGAATTTACTTTTTATGTTCATGAAAATTAAAAATGGAAAAAATGAAACAGTTTTCAGGACGATAAGGAAATGATTTTTTTAAATCCCACGTTTGAAACCCAGTTGGACCTCCATAAATATCAGCGTGTTTATTTCATCTAAAAACTCAGAAGCGAGGAGTGGTTTGGTCTCTACAGCATTCCTCCTCTGATGTTCGCCGCTCCGATGCACGGACCGAGCCAACACCCGTGCTGTTTTGCTGGATTTGTGAAGGAAGCAGCACCAACAATAAAACAGTGGCTTTCCATAATCCTGAGCTGGGACCACTGCGTCATCAAGGGACAAAGGTCCTGTAATTTAATCAGAGTTTATCGTTAGCTCCACATCATAAAACCTCCACTGTTTACGTCGTTACCGGGAAGCTAAAAATGATACAAGAGACAAGTTTTTAAAGGAAAAAATGTAAAATTCATCAGCAGTTTATCTGGATTTGTGAAATTCATCAAATCTTTTTAATTACGTAAAATAAATAAACTTATCTTTACTGTTGTTTATACTGATTATTGTTATTAATGTTCTTTTATCAGTGAGTCAGCTGGACTTATCATGGGCGTGACCAGCAGGTTCTCCACGAAGTTCGAACTGGAGGAGGTAATAAGTCATTTCTTTTATTTCTTCCAAACTCATAACTGTGATGCTTTATTAGTCATCAAAAACACCCAGACACCTCATCCTGGTACTTTGTTGGCTTTTGTTTATCTTTGAGTTTTAATTTACAATGAAAGAAGTTGGACTTTAATCTGATTTTTGCTTAAATTTTAAACAGTTTGTGTTTAAAAGACATTAACTTTACCTAATTTATCAGTTATATAAAACATAGTTAGAGTTTAAAGTCAATCTTTAAATTTTCTTTCATCACCTAAAGGACTACAAACTCTTTTCTTACGCATAATTAATAATATCTCAATACGTTAAGCCTAATTTGACCTGTTTATGTCAATTTTTATGAAGATTTTTTAAAAACATTAGGTTATTAAATAATTTTGTACACTCAGATGCAGCTAAAAAAAGTTTTAAAACTTTTACCGATTTTAAAGAGCAAGTCACCCCCTACCAGAATCTCACTCCACTCCCACTTCCTGTTTGAAAAATGCAACAAATGCTGTTGCCTAGCAGACCGAGAGGGCGGAGCTGCTAACAAATACAGGCTCACAATGACATTGTGACATCATATGGTACCAGCTGATGTAATTTGATACTTCTTAGCCAATAGCAATGGCAGATTTAGATTAAAATGCAGTGCAGAGTTTTTACCTGAAGGGGGTGCAACACTGACAGTTTAAGGCAGAATATTTATATTTTAACAAAGACGCACCACAGCGCCAAATTATTGATGACATCTGTCTACAGTACGATCAGACACTCATTTATATAGTTTATCAGCAAAAAAAAGTTGATTTGGGGGTGACTTGCTCTTTAACTAAATATGTATTGAACGTTACTTTTTAGCTATGTGGTAGCAGTCGTATTATTTAATATCAGGACTTTTGTTGCTTTTTTTCTCATCTTTGCTTTGTTTCTGGATTCGTTTCTGATCTGATCTTATTTCGGGTATTAATGCTGTGTTCTTGTGGACAGCTGATGCGCTTTGCGACCCAAGCTGAGGAGCACGTTGCTGACATCGTTATGATGCGCGCCGTGGAGCAGACCCAGGTCAACATCCAGTGGGTCAACGAGAACAAAAACATCATCCTGTGGTGGTTTGAGAGAGAAACGGCTAACATTGAATAAATGAAGCCGAATTCATTCATTCGTGGTGCTGAAAGGTTCCAGATCTGTGGTTTATATGGCTCAGATGGCTTTAACCCAACTCTAGAAGTTTAGTGATGTTCCTGTAGGAGCCACGCTAGAGCCTGAACATGCAGGAGGGAGAGGGTGTGTTTATGTAAATACTAGTGTGCATTATTTATACAGCACATTCAGTGCAAACAGCAGGGAAATATATTAAAAGCATAATTTCTTCCTATTTTTTTTATTAATTTTGAATGTGCTGCTCGTCCAACATGAGTTAATAAATGTGTTTAAATGACAAATAAAAACTTTTAGATGCTTTCATGTTGCTGCTGCTGCCTGTGCATCAAAACTAACACCATATAGATGTTTTTAGGGTCTAAAACATCCAATAATTCAGTTTGATTACATGAAATAAACAACATACATCTAGATTAACATAATAAATGAAATATAAGAAAAGTTATTTTGTTGGAATTATTTTTAATAATAAAATTTGAATATTCAAAAATCAACTTGTTTTGCTTTTTAAAATTATTTAACAGGAAGTTTCAGGTTTATTATTTTATTTTTGGATTGAATTAGGAACAAAATGTTTTAATTATTTTTTTAATCAAATTCGTTCACTTCTCACTTGAAATAAATAAAACGGGGATCCATTTTATTTATTTCAAAGAAAAAGTCATAATAAACTTTAGTCGTTTTTTTAAACTTATTGTTGCATCAAAAAAATTTCTAAATGTTTCTCTGCAGTTTTTTTTTCCTTAATAAAAGTTTGGATTATTCACTTCCTGATTCATTTGACTGCACATCTGGATCAGATTTAGGGGTTTTAAAACTACACATAGATAAGTTTAATACAGGGAAAGTGTGTCCAACTGCGCTAAAAACTGAAAAAAATGACACCAAATAATATTCTATTTTATTTCATTGTATAAAAATCTGGCAGTTAGGCACCTGAAACTATTTGATTTGGTAAAATTAACCCAACTCTGCATTTACAAGATCTTTTTTTTACTTAAATGTACATTTATATCACCTTTTCTGTCTTGTTTATGCATTTAATACATTTTATTTTTGCACAACACTTTAAAAAATCTACTTTCTACATAAAATAAATGGAGTTGCATTCATTTTTACCTAAAGGACAAAATTCTGGAGCATCAACGAGACGTCAATGCTAACAATGCTGCGTCACCACAGGCTGTGTTAAAGAGCAAGTCACCCCCTAACAGAGAATTACTCCACTCCCACTTCCTGTTTGAAAAATGAAACAAATGCTGTTGCCTAGCAGGCCGAGAGGGCGGAGCCGCTAACAAATACACACACACAGGCTCACAACGACGTTGTGACATCATGTGGTACCAGCTAACGTTCTAGGGTACCTCTTAGCCAATAGCGATGGCAGATTTAAATTCAATTGCAGTGCAGAGTTTTTACCTGACAACGGCACAACACTGACAGTTTTAGGCAGAAAATTAAAATGAACTAAAATGCACTAAAGTGCAAAACTATTGACGACACGTGTCTGCAGCACGATTAGACATGCATTTATATAGTTTATCAGGAAAAAGGTTGATCTGGGGGCGACTTGCTCTTTAACTTGCAAAAAAAGTAACTACAAAGTTCCTTATGATAAAAAAATATATTCTTCCAGAAACCCCAATAAAAAAAATCTGGAGAAATAGAAACATGACCAATAATAAAACACAGGAGGAGTGACAATGATGGTTGGGCTGAAGTGCCGTAAGCCTGGAAATGTCTCAGATTGTTTCTGGCTTTAACCTCACCGAGACCAACGTGGAGGGAATGAGGCCCGCTTTGTCCGAGGACATGTGCAGGACCCTGGGACGGGTAGAAGTCTGTTTAAATCAGAATTCTGCTATCGTCCGAGGATGCAAGTCGATATACGGTTAAAATGATGTTCAAATGATGAAATGAGTAAAATGTCCTTCCAAAAAATTCAGGCCATCGTTATGCAAACAGAAATCTGACGCCAGTGAGAATGCAGCAGCTCAGTTAGCTTCATAACAGAAAACAGCTGTTTACATGGAACCGGTGTACACGTGATCCAACTTCCAGAAAAGACTAATTATACTGGAAATGGTGTGTGTGTGTGTGTGTGTGTGTGTGTGTGTGTGTGTGTGTGTGTGTGTGTGTGTGTGTGTGTGTGTGTGTGTGTGTGCGTGTGCGTGTGCGTGTGTGTGTGTGTGTGTGCGTGTGCGTGTGTGTGTGTGCGTGTGGTAGTCACAGTTTTATAAACCAGGAAATCAAATTCAAAGGCTGCAAGAAGGGAATTCTACAACAATGCACATTTCTGAAGGAGACAAAGCGAGTCCTGTCTCCTCCTGCAGAGCTTTCAGTTTGCATCTGTTCAGCGTCCTCCCTGCAGAAGAGATCGGGGTCAGGAGGTAGAGCTGATGGGGACAGTCAGATTCCTCAATCATCCTGAGGGAAAGGGAAAAACCTGCGTTTAGATCCTGAACAACAGATTCAGCCGCACCCTTCTCGTCTCCATCGGACCTGAGCTTCAGTGGAAAAGTTGACTCGCTAACACGAGTAGCGGCGATTTCTTCTGCTGATTAAAAAGTTTTTACAAGGAACGCAAAGTGAGCTCAAATGGAAACATCCCAATTCTGATGGAACGTTTGATCGTGCAACTCCTTCCCAGCCAGTGTTGGGCAAGTTACTTCAAAACTGTAGTAATAAAACTGCATTATTTATTACTTGTTACCCTCATTTTTAAGTAATTCATTACATTACAATATTACTGATTTTAAAACGTAAGGCATTACACTACTTTTGCATTACTTTAAGTTACTTTCACCAAAACAACTTCAGTATGAATCTGGTCACGTGACGCTCAGCGAGCTCATGACATATATGTGGAAGGTGATGTGGTGTCTGAGCTAGGGTTGCTGTTAAAAACAGTCAGATATAATAACAGTGCTTTAAAATGATTGTTTATTAAATAAAAGCAACAACAATCTGTACTCTCAGCACGCTGCCATCTTATAGGGCCATCTGAGCAGGGAGTGAGGTGGTGGGGGCTCCAAGCCTATATTTGCCTTGGTCCCCAAATGCCTTGATACGGCCCTGGATGTGGGACTGACTTCTGGGGTGATCTGATTCTATCACATGTATAAATATTAAATGCTTATAGATTATTGCTTTTCACTGGTAAAAATGTGTATTGGGGATAAATCTACCTACTTTTTTCTTTTCAAGCACTTTGTTTTGTTTTTTTGATTTTATTTGAATAATTTCCGGCCCTTTCTCTCTCTAGCCTTCCTGCATGCTGCATGTTTTCTCCGTCTTCCAGAAAAACTGTTTCCTAGATTTCCTACTTTCTAACTAATCAGCCAAAGGGATCTACCGAACTAAAAAAAAAAGCTTGATATGCGCGGCGCTTCAGCAGCAATGAGTTGAAATCACCGGGGCACAGATGATGAACTCAGCTGAAAAGTACATGAAGTACCAGAGAATATGGGCGGATATAAACGATCACAAACGAATGACTTTGTGTTAGTGGAGCGATTTTGTGAATATAACAGCGGCCGTGCGCAGGACGCAGCTGGAGTATTTGAGCCATCACCGCTGCGTCCTCTCTGCTCATAGAATGCCCGCAAAGCTGAGTCCATAAATGACGTCATATATGTGGATACTGGATCTTTTTTCAGGCTTCCCGCAATTTGAATTTTTAGGAAACCCACATCTTGATTCTGGGATTAAAAATGCATTGTAATTACCGCGTTACTGACAACTGTACCGAGTAAATATGACCATTTTCTTTCCCTGTAATGCCTTACATTACCACATTACAGCAAAAAGCAATGCATTACAGTAATTAATTACTTTTGTACCGCGTTACTCCCAACACTGTTCCCAGCATTACGTTTTGCCTCCAACACTGAATAAAGGATTAAATGCAACCCAGGTTATTTTGTAGGAATTACATTTAAAATATTTGGTTGTTTTATGCTAAACTTTCTCTTTCACTGTTTATATTTGACAAATCAGGCTTTTAGTTCTGCAGGAAACCTAGCTGCTACAGGTTCATTCTCACCCATTCATCTTCTTCTGCTCCCTCTCCTTCTCCTCCTCCTCCAGCGCTCTGACAGCCGCTGGTGTCCGACTTGTTGGCCATTATTTTGTCCGTCCACGAGGCGCCGGCCTGTTCGTCCCCAGCAAAGTTACACCTGGTCACCGTCCCGCTGTCCACTTTGGCTAAAGACACTGAGACAAAAGACAAAAGGAGTGGGAAGGGACTCGAGCAGCACCGAGTTCCCCAGAAGTTTGATTATCTCACCTCATAAACCCAAAAACAGATTTTCACTGTTTAAAAGAAGAATTTTTATTTATTTATTTATACTAAAATAAACAAGAACTCACATAAGAAAGGACTGTTTCCTCTGGTCTTCAGCCGTACTTCCTGCCCCGTTTCCAGCTCTGTTTTGTCCATCTCTGACTCCGGGTACCAGAAGGCCCAGGAGCCGGCAGGTCGGTGCTTGTCGGTTATCTTAACCAGCTCACATTTGTTAACCATCGCTGAGAGCTGCTCCTCGCTCAGACGGTCCGACTCTCCTTTAGCCTCCACCTCTGTGGAAGCAGGATAGGCTTTTCAAAACGTTTCAGCAGCCTTTTAAAACGCTCACAGAGACCAAAACCTGCAGAAAGAATCACGTTCAGAGAAATATGCAACCATTAATGCAGACTCACTGTAAGAGGACATCAGGAAGCCCGTGTTGACCTTTCTGGTGTCACTGAAGTTTGGCTCGACCTCCGACCCGTCTGCTTCGTACTTCCTCTGATGGATGCGGCTGGGTTTGACGTACAGCACATAGAAGCGAACCTTTACAGCATCAGAGAACACGAATAATGAATGTTAGCTCGAACCTTCCCTAAATGTTTTTGTTTAGGTTTATCCAATGCATTCTCACATCATTCAGTTCAGTCAAGTTTGGATCGTTCATATGATTCAGTCATGGAGTCTGTGTTATTTATAATACAAATGATTCGGAAAAGGGTAGAACGCCTTCTCCGGGTCAGGGATGAGGTCCTGCCCCAAGTGGAGGAGTTTAAGTATCTCGGGGTCTTGTTCACGAGTGAGGGGAAACTGGAGAGTGAGATCGATAGGCGGATTGGTGCTGCATCTGCAGTGATGCGGGCGTTGTACCGGTCTGTCGTGGTGAAGAGAGAGCTGAGTCAGAAGGCAAAGCTCTCGATTTACCGGTCGATCTACGTTCCTACCCTCACCTATGGTCATGAGCTTTGGGTAGTGACCGAAAGAACGAGATCGCGGATACAAGCGGCCAAAATGAGTTTTCTCCGCAGGGCGGCTGGGCTCTCCCTTAGAGATAGGGTGAGAAGCTCTGTCATTCGGGAGGGGCTCGGAGTAGACCCGCTGCTCCTCCACATGGAGAGGAGCCAGTTGAGGTGGCTCAGGCATCTGGTCAGGATGCCTCCTGGATGCCTCCCTGGTGAGGTTTTCCAGGCACGTCCAACCGGGAGGAGGCTTAAAGGTAGACCCAGGACACGGTGGAGGGACTATGTCTCTCACCTGGCCAGGGAACGCCTTGGGATTCCCTTGGAGGAGCGGGGAGAGGGAAGTCTGGGCCTCTCGACTTAGGCTACTGCCCCCGCGACCCAACTCCGGATAAGCGGATGAAAATGGATGGATGGATGGAATACAAATGAATTATTGTTGTTTTTAATTACATATGTGTGTTATTGTCCTATTGGTCATTATTATTCTATTTATATTCACATTTTTGCAGCATTTTACCCAACTAGTATTTTGTTTTTTACATATTGCAGCAAAGAACTGCTTTGAAATAAAATACTTAAATGAAAACATTAAATTGGGTTCATGTCTGACCTTTTGACCGCTTGTGTCACTGACTGAATGTCTGGAAACATCCAGCAGTGCTCCTTCCAGAAGGACTCCAGGACCCCTGAGAAAACACATCCAAGTGAATATACATTTTAAAAACATCTAAACTTTAACAGCGCATGCTTAGCTCTTGAATTATACCTGCACGTTCTGTAAGAGTGAGGCTTACTGTTGCCAGACTCCATGAGATTTAATGACTTATATTTTTACCTCATAAAGCATCTGATCGCCTGCTTTAATAAATGCTGTTGATGGTGTGTTACCGCCAGTTTCTCCACCAAAACAATGCCGAAAACAGCCGTACCCATAGGGGGTTTAGAATATGTCTTAATTACATGTATAAAAGGTGAAATTGTTATGTAGGTAGAGAAAAACAAAACACGCATGTTTCCCATAGAGGTTTGGCACGCGCTGCTTCCAGCTCCTCTTCCTGGAGTTTTGAGCTCCTACCTTTCATACGAAGAAGGTGACCAGACACGATCAAACTTCTCACTGTGGACCGGTTTGTTTTGTAAAGATGTGTTGTCATAAATCCTGCTCATTTTGTCAGATTCCTGAATTTTCTTCCCTTCTCGCAGACTTTTTCCTGTTTCCAGACTTCCTGTTCCTGCTCGAGCTAGAGGTGCGCTCGTTTTTTACTCTCCATGGTGCCGACGGGAGTTTTTAAGGATGAGAAACAAACATTTGGGACCGAATGGGATGGGATGAACAATTGGTTCGTGGAGATTTGTCCATGTGGACGACATCCTGGTGATTGTGGCGCGGGGCACGCTGCCTTCATAAGAGGCAGATACACCTGCTGCTCACGCAAAGCTCTCAGTACCTCAGCACCGAGCGTGTTTGAGGTGGCGATTTGCCGTTTGCGACTGTATACTGCCTCATTAGTATTTCCTCTCTGTGACAGCCTATATGGTTTATCTGTAGGGAAAGTGCTGGTTGGAAGTGCTGGTTGACGCTTTACGCAGCTCTCCATGACGCAAGTTTAGAGCCACCAGAGTGGCCTCTTCCTGTTTGGAGATTGTTGTCCTCAGGCAGCTGATCTCCTCGCCCGCTCGGCAGAGGTAAGCCAGTAGTTTTGGGTAACGGGGGTGAGCTGATCCGGGGGTTTTGCCATCTGTTTGTCTTGCAGCGCGGTCAACCTGCCGTGCCGGTGTTGTGCCAAAGTAGTTACCCCCGTCAAACATTGCTTCCCCCATTCACGGGAGCGATACTATAAGACTGTAAAAGTTGAGGGATACAGATTTTTATCAGGCTGTGTGGCCTCGGCTGCCAGAGTGTGACCCCCCCCATCAATAATGCACATTGGCGTTGCTGTCACGAAATAGTTTATTTGCATAATAAGTCACAGTATAACTACTAACTACAGACACTTTGGAGAACATTTTCTTTTTTTTAGACTTCTTAATTTAACGTTTAATGTTCTCCAAAGTGTCTGTAGTTATTAGTTGTACTGTGACTTATTTGGCAAATAAACTATTTCGTGATAGCAACGCCAAAAACAACAAAGTGTAAACCGAGGGGAAACAAATTTTGACGAGGGTAACTACTTTGTCACGACACCGGCTGGGGGTAGTCGGTGTAGGCGGTACGCCTCGACGGCTCCGCCACCTGGGCTGTGTTGGGTCCCTCGCTGCTTCACCTTGGCGTTCCTGGACAACTGGATCCAAGTAGTGCGCCCCATGGCTCCACACTGCTGTTTTGTTAACCTTTCTTTTAATACAGTATTTCAAATCAAATCAAATCACTTTTATTGTCACGTCACATGTGCAGGTACACTGGTACAGTATATGCGAGTGAAATTCTTGTGTGTCAGTTGTGCAAAATACAATAACATAAAAACAAGCAAAATATAAAAATGGCTAATCTAAGTAATAATATATATAGTATGTAAGGTATACACATTCCTAAATGTGTGTGCTAAGTATTTTATTTTTTATTTTTTTTACGTGTGTGCGTGTGAGTGTGTGTATATGCGTATATACACATTTAACCAATGAATAAAGTAAACAATAAGATAAGAGATATAAAATATACAGTGGTTGGTATGTGCAAAACAGTGGCATTAATGTACAGTATGGAGTGTGTAATGTTAGTGAGGGTGAGGTGTCTGCGAAATGTTCAGCAGTCTGATGGCCTGATGGAAAAAGCTGTCTGTCAGTCTGCTGGTTCTGGACCGGATGCTGCAGAACCTCCTTCCTGATGGAAGTAGTCTGAACAGTTTATGGCTGGGGTGACTTGAGTCCTTGATGATCCTCCCCGCTTTCCTCAGGCACCGCTTCCTGTAGATGTCTTGGAGGGAGGGCAGCTCACCTCCAATAATCCTTTCTGCACACCGCACTACTCTCTGGAGAGCTTTGCGGTTGTAAGCGGTGCTGTTGCCATACCAGGTGGAGATGCATCCAGTGAGGATGCTCTCAATGGCACAGCGATAGAAGGTCCTGAGGATGCGGCGGCTCATGCCAAATCTTTTCAGTCTCCTGAGAAAGAAGAGGCGCTGCTGTGCCTTCTTCACTGTTGTTCGTGTGCACTGACCACGTAAGATCCTCTGCCAGATGAACTCCAAGGAAACGGAAGCTGCTCACCCTCTCCACAGCGTCGCCGTTGATGGTGATGGGGGTGTGTATTCCTCTGCTCCTCCGGAAGTCCACTATCATCTCCTTTGTCTTTGTGGCGTTGAGGGTGAGACTGTTGTCCTGACACCAGTGGGTCAGGGCGCTGATCGCCTCCCTGTAGGTCGTCTCATCGTCGTTGGTGATGAGACCCACCACTGTGGTGTCGTCCGCAAACTTCACAATGATGTTGGAGTTTCTCGTGGCCGTGCAGTCGTGGGTGTAGAGTGAGTACAGGAGAGGGCTCAGCGCACACCCCTGTGGAGCACCAGTGCAATGTATTTTAGCCCGCTGCTGGGCTACAGAGTGTGTGGTTGCCAGGGCAACCACTGGATCTCCCGCACCAGATACATTTAATGGAGCCAGTTGGAGGATTTATTTAGCCCCCCCCCCCCTTTTTTTTTAAATAACTGACCTGTGTAGCACCTCCTTTTTAATTTAGTATATTTGTCTGTATGTTTTTAGATAAACTGTCAAATAAAGGCCATTATTGTATTTAAGAACACCAGTCTGCTCCTCTGTGGGTGCGCGGACCGACTACCTGTTAGTTCCCTGGGGCCTACTGGCTCTGGGGTGGCGTTGTTGCAACATTTTAACTTAACATTCTACTTAGTACGGACCCATTTTGCCGCAGAATAAAACAACATTCACCGACATAGGGCATTTTCAGTTCTGCAGAAATAGAAACTTTAATTTTTTACTTAAAAATTGACATGAAATCAGTTTTACATAAAGAGAAAATTTGCTATGTTTACTAAATAAAACAATTAGTTTTGGTTCTGAGCAAAAAAGAAAATGCAAGAATAAAAATGAAACTGAACCGTTTACTGTAATGCTTTTGGGTTGCATGCTGGTGCAGCTGGTGGTCCTGAGGCAAGGTTTTCATTCCTTTCATTTATAAAGCCCCTTCTGCGACCAATGCAGACGCCCAAGGTGCTGAACACAATAACATAAACCCATCAAAATAAAATATAGCAATCGTAAAACCAATATAAAAAAATTGAGAGGAGAGTAAAAACAAAAAAATCCTGAAAATTAAGAGGCCGGGGCAACGAAACCGGGTAAAAATTGCTAATCCTGGAATGCCTTGACAAAAAAATGGGTCTTAAGGCAAGTCTTATAAACCCCCAATGAGGGTGACTGACGCACCACCAAAGGCAACTGGTTCTAAAGTGCATGTGCCAACACCGAGAATGCACGGTCCCCCCGTGACCTGCACTTAGTGCGTGGAACCATCAACAGCTACCTATCGGCTGAGCGAAGGGCCCGTGAGGAGGCATGTCTATGCAAAAGGTTGCCAAGATATGCTGGAGCCGTTCCATGTAAGGCCTTGTGTGCCAGTACCAAGACCTTAAACTTTGCCCTGTATTGCACAGGCAGCCAATGAAGGGATGCCAACACAGGGGTGATATGTTCCCTGCGCCTAGTGCCTGTCACGAACCTAGCGGCTGAGTTTTGTACTAACTGCAAGCGTGCTACCGCACCCTGACTAAGGCCGGCATACAGTGCAGTGCAGTAGTCGAGCCTTGAAAGAATAAAAGCGTGTGTGACAGTCTCTAGATGTACTCTGGACAGCAGGGGCTTAATTCTGGCTAGTCGGCGTCAGTTAAAAAAACACGATGGCACAACCTGGTTGATTTGCGCGTCGGATTTAAGGGCTGAGTCCAGCTGCACTCCCAAATTTCGGATGGTGGTCTTCATGTTGGATGCTAAAGGGCCCAGATTCACAGCATCGCATGGGCGTGTAGACATGCCAGGGCTAAGTACAATTACTTCAGTCTTAGCGTCATTCAGATGTAAAAAGTTTGTAGCCATCCAGGAGCGCACATCCTCTAAGGCATCTACAAGCTTTGATATTGATCCATCGACCCACCGCTGAAGGGGGAGGTAGATCTGACAGCCGTCAGCATAAAAATGAAAACGCATGCCAAACCGCCGAAGAAGATTCCCCAACGGTATTAGGTAGATGGCAAAAAGAAGCGGACCCAGTACAGACCCCTGTGGCACACCCCACTTGAGTCCCTTCCAGGTCGAGGAGGTTTCACCTACACTGACACAAAAACTCCTGTCAGACAAGTAGGAGTGTAGCCATTGTAGGGCTGCACCGGTTTTGTAGCCGATCCAAAAGTATGTCATGATCGCCCGTGTCAAAGGCCGCAGACAAATCTAACATCAAAAGAATGACAGCCTCCCCCCCGTCACAAGCTAAAAAAAACATCATTAAGAACCATTAAAAGTGCAGTCTCGGTACTGTGACCTGCTCTGAACCCTGACTGAAAGATCTCCCAGAGTTCGTGAGTGTCTAAAAATACAACCCTCAAGCAGCTTGGATAAGTAAGGTAGATGTGAGATAGGTCAGTAATCGACTAACACAGCCTCCTCCATCCCCTTCTTTTTCAGCAGTGGTCATACAACAGCCCTCTTAAAGGTAAGGGGGACCACACAAGAGGCCAGACTGGTATTTAAGATAACCAGTATATATGGGGCCAGAACAGAAAAAGCCTTCTTAAGCATCCTTGAGGGAAGAACATCATAAGGGGAACCAGAAGGTTTTTGCTTAGAAATGAGTTCCTCTAGCTCTGTCATAGAAGGTTTGAATTCCGTGTTCTCCGCATGCTCAGGTTTGTCCAGGTCCTACGGTTTACTCCAACAGACCAACGACACGCATGCTTGTTTATTAAGAGGCTAGGAGTGAGCGAGTGTAACTGGTTGTCCCTGTGATGGACTGGAGAACTGTCCAGGGTGTCCTCTACCCCTCCTTTGACTGCTGGAGGCCACCCCCCCCACCCCCACCCACCCCCACCCCACCCCCACGGCTCTAGAGAGGAAAAGTAGTTCACAGTGACTGAGTGTAATGCTTCTTATGTATTAAAACAATATGCACCCATGGACGTAATTTTTGGGGGGGACAGGGGGGACATGCCCCCCCCCCCCCACTTTTTCCAAAGTCAAGTTTTGACCCCTGCACTTTTTACCATCCAAAAACAGTATTACACTATATTAAATTGACACTGGTTGAGCTCTAGGACCAAGTGGAAAACAACAGTTTGTGTTGAAGCCTGTTTCCCGTTAGAACATACCGGGGCCCCCCCCCGGGGCCCCCCCACTTTTAAACTGAAAATTACGTCCATGTATGCACCAAACTCGTCTCCTTATGGTCTGAAGCTCCTGTAGGATTTATGCGGCTGTAGATCACTCAAGTGCACGACCAGTTTCCTCTGGGTCAGACGTTGCACAACGTGCACAGCTCGCCTCATGTTCTTTTGGCTCTTTTGCAGCTCTTTTGCATTTCCTCTGAGCTCTCTCCGCTGTGCTTTTCTGATAAAACACTCTTGGATTTCACAGTTCCTTTCATAACTGTGGGCCTGGGAGGATTCAAGTCCAGATCTTCAGCACGGGCCGCTGAAAAACATCCTGTCCCACAGCTTGTGCCGATCAGGGAGTGTTCTCCCTGTTTCGCATCCCAACGTTCGGTCTGGGGAGCGTTCGTGTTACAGGTGACCGGCGAGGTCAAGTCTTCACCCTCCTGTGAGTTAACAGAAACGACAATTCAATCATCAGTTTGCACAACAGCCTCACTCACTCACCACCATCAGAAGGAATTTGGGCCTCGGGTGTTTTGATTTAAACAACCTTTTAACACAGAAAATAAAGTTACACCCCAGCTGTTCAAACCCGTGTGACCAGAGAAGACGCAGACACACTAAAGTTATTGGTTGTTGGACAAAACTGAAATAGTGAACGTGTGTTTGTAGAGCTGCAGATGTAAAAAGAGGTGCACGACCACTTTGAGCAACCATTTTCATTGCGTCCCAAGAATAAATCTTCTATCCATTCATCTCCATCCATCCATTTTCTGAACCCGTTTGTGCGATTGCCGGGGGGGGGGGGGATTGGGTGGCCTATCTCCAGTGGTGGTCAATGGGCAATCAGGCGGGGTACACCCTGGACAGAGAGCCGGTCCATGACAGGACAAACAATCACTCACACACACTCACACCTAGGAACAATTGACGCCGGGGACACACCGGCCGCGGAAGCGCCGCGAAAATGGGACCGCTTTCATTCGGCGCCCTTGTTAAGCTATTCTATAGACCACATGGGCCACCGAAGCGCCGCGAATCGCCTCGCGCCGGCGCCCCAGCCCGCGCCGTGCAGCGATCATTTCGGCGTCGGCTCTATTTTTTTTCGCGAGCCGCGGGTGAATCGCGTCAATTCTGGCAGGAAGTCCAACCTAGACCTAAGAGGCAGGCCGGTAACGTTAACAAAATAAAGCATTTCAAAATAAAATTCCGCAATAGTCAAATGTGTTCGTAATTAGACACTGCAGAAAAACCACACGAACACACACTCACATCGAACTTGTGTGCGTGTGTGACCACGTGAAGGGGGGAGTGGTTTTGGGTGTCTTCACCGGAGCAAACAGGACAGAGAGGCAGAAAGTCTGAGGCAAGCAGTTAGGATGGATGACTTTAAATTAAATATGGAAGTTGAGAAACACAAGGAGCTGTACGACCCCCGAAAAACATGATTATTTACGTACCCATGTCGGAAGAAACTGCTAGGATACACACACACACACACACACACACGCACACGCACACGCACACACGCAGAGGAAAAGAGCTGAGAAAAGGCAGAGAGGAAATGGAGGACACCAAGTGTTTAAAAGAAAAACTACAGCTGAGCCGAGGCGCGCCTCGACTGGGGCGCGTCTGATCTGAACTGAGGAGCGGCGAGCAGCGGCCGAATTTCGTGAGCGATACGCTTTGCGGCGCTTCGCGGCCGGTGTGTCCCCGGTGTTAGACAGACCAATCAACCTAACACAGGGAGAACATGCTAACTCCATGCAGAAAGATCCCAGGCCGGGAAGCGAACCCAGGACCTTCTTGCTGCAAGGCAACAGCTCTAACCACTGCACCACTGCGCAGCCCGAATAAATCTTCTAGTAAAATCTAAAAGAAAATCCCATTCTCACCTGGTGGAATGAGTAACGGCCCAGCTGGATGTTAAGCCAGATGTTCTGTCTCTGAGTCCAGCCTCCTGGAGCCTCCACCTCATACAGACGCTCCCGGTGCTCCTGGTGCTGGAGCAGGAACCTCCTGACCACTGAACAGTAGCGACAGACAGGTGGACTTAAGCATCTCCCTTCAAACACAAGACGGCCGTACCTGCGCTAGAACATCCATTCTTGTTCATTTACTAGATTTATCGTCACTTTTGAACTTTCCACCTCTGTTATGCAAACAAACGGTCACAAAGACAACTAATTATCTGCAGCTATTTCCCTCAGGTCTGACTTTCCTTATGACTGGATGTAATCATAAACACAAGATTAAAATATTCCCAATCCAGCAAATGCAGTCAGAGGAATACTCGGACGACCTGAGGAAAACGCTGGACTGCCCAAGGGAAGGGAGGGACAGCTAAGTGTGGTGGAGGAAAACCTCAGCTGACCTGCTGCCATGCTAGGTGATAAAGGAGAGCTGACTCCGAGGAACTCCTCCGAGGAAAACATTGAGCAGAAATCCTCCAGGATCTGCAGGCCGAAGCCTCTCCTCCTGCAGCTTCTTCTCACCAGCAGTGTGTCCAGGACGGGAAGCAGGTAGCAGCAGCTGCTCCAGCTGTCACACAGGCTGCCTGACAACAACAGATGGAGTCACAGCTCTCATTTATAATCCTCTCCTTTTACCTGGAGGTTTGGGAGTTTCTGTTCTAAACGCTGTTGCTGTCAAACAAATGGATCCAAATGCTGTCTAATCTGAACCTGGATTAATTGGTGTTCTTAAATGGAACGCTACATTCAGATTAGATGCATCTCTGAGGTTTTATTCTAACTCTCATTCCTGGATGTACCGGGATCAGGGTTGAATTTAAAGATTGAAACATGGTGTCATGTTGTGAGGGTGGAGATGGTAGGACCATGTGTGGTGGTGGGTTCAGGAGACAGGAGAGCAGGCACGGATGAAATAAAAATGGGTTTAATGGTAACCGGGAGCGACAGGACGAAACAAGGACATGCACATTCAACAATGATCCGACGAAGACAGCAACAAGGAGGGAGGTATAAATACACAGGGTAATCAGGAACACATGGGCAGAGTAATGAGGGGCAGGTGAGAACAATAAGGTTAAACAAGGCAGGAGAGACACAGTCAGGGAGGCCGGGGCGGATCATGACACATGGATGTTAACAAACTTGGGCTTTTTTAGGATTTCTGCCTCATTTGATCAAACACAAACACAGAAATGTTTTGTGTGAGGGGAAAATTGAAGTGTCTTGGGATTGAAGTGAATTGGGACGCCAACCTCTCAATGACTCCTCAGATCAACTCAGTGGTGAGGTCTTGCTTTTATCAGTTACGCCGCCTATCTCGTTTCAGACCGATCTTAAAGAGGAAGCACTTGGAATCAGTCATCCACACTTTCATCACCTCCCGCTTGGACTACGCTAACGCATTATTAGTTGGAACTCCTGTCTCTGCCCTGAACCAGGTTGTCCAAAATGCCGCTGCTTGGTTTTTAACAAACACAAGCCGACATAGCCGTATTACACCAGTCCTGGAACGTCTTCACTGGCTCCCCATCACATTTTGTGTGCGTTTTAAGATCTTGATGTTTGTTTTTAAAGCCCTACACGACCTAGCTCCTCCTTACCTGTCCGACCTGCTGACTCCATATGTACCTACTCGTATGTTGAGGTCAGCTGACCGTCTACTGCTTTGCACTCCCCAGATGTCCTAAAAATCACGAGGTGAGCGTGCGTTTGTCCATGCTGCCCCCATGCTCTGGAACTCACTGCCCATTACAGTTAGGCTGGCATCCTCTCTGCCTGTCTTTAAATCTCGTTTAAAAACCTACTTCATGACTTGGCTATGTCATCCTGTTATGATTTTATAGTTTTTATTGTTGTGTTTTATCTTCTTATTGTTTTTACTTTTGTTTTAAAGGGACTTTTCGGACTTTTGAATTTTTATGCTCGCGATTGCCCCCTCAGGCCAAAAGCGTAATGGCAGCTTCAATAGTAGGCTCGTGCACGAGGCGCGCATGATGTACGTGCACACTCCTTAACAAAAATAGCAGCTGAGACAGTCCCGTGTGTGTGTGTGTGTGTGTGTGTGTGTGGCCTGGAGGACAGAGGACAGGAGAACGTGCAGCTAATTAATTAAATAATGTGGTTCTGTACCTTTCTCTTCAGCACAGCCGACAAAGGTTTATGATGGGTCAGTCCTCCTGCATGCTCAGATCATTCCCTTCCCTTGCTTGAAAAATTGTTCCAAAATGAAAGTTGAACCCACATCTTTTTTATCTGTGAATTCAATGCCGTTCGGCGAGTCAAATAAAAATTTGGGCATCTTACTGTAAAAAAATATATCATTAATGTAAAAAATAAACTCAAAATAAACTATGTTCACATCCAGAATCAAACCCAGGTCTTCTGCACGAGAGTCAGACGTCTTACTAGGTGAGCTAAAGCGCCAGTGACGTCCTTTGTATCTATAACATTTATATCGTTGATGACAGCTGAAACAACGTCAAACCAAAGAACGGTTCGGAGTGAAAATGGCTATTTTGTTGCTAATTAGCAGGAAATATCTAGAAGAAAGTTCTACAGAAAGTAGCTAAGGGTCCTCAGAAATGTAGCTAGCTTTGTCACTAGGCGTTAGGAACAGCGACAAAGTGGCACTGCCTCTCTCTCTGCTGCTAAAGCTACGGATAGCAAATGCTACGGGCGATGCCTGAGCGTGAACGCGCATGAAGCAGCCTGCTCGACCCGAGCATCTCTCTTTTTCTGTGATTTTACAGAAAAACAGGCAATCACAGTAAAAATGCCAGGGCTCATTCTACAGGACCAGGGCATTGCAGGAGAATGTATGAAGAAGACATTTATTATTTCTATACATGTTTTGCTGTCAAACTTCCATAATGTCCCTTTAAATTGATCCTGCCTCTTCAGCACTTTGGCCCGCTCTCACGCCGTCTTAAACTGTGCTATAGAAATAAAGCTGGTACTGTCTGGTTTGTTTCAGAACAGAGTTTATAAAAATGGAAGTGCCAGACTCTGGGCCCTGACGGGTTTGCTTCCAGTAAAGTTGTTCAGCCCTCAAACGCTCCACTGAACTCACAGCCAAATGCATCTGCTGTTTGATGCTGAGCAGGAAGGTTTGTGGTCACTGATGCTTGATGTTTGTGCATCCATACACAACTACGAGTAAACAGCCCTGCAGTTTTGCATCGCTCAGCTCTCCACCTTTGTGCTTGATGGTGTAGAAGCCGACCGCCTGCTTGTCCCTCCACAGCAGTTTGCAGCTTTCTGTGCGGGGGTGCAAGGAGAACGACGCCTCCCCGGGTGAAGGAGGCCTCTCCACAACCCGACTGAGAAGGAACACGATCACCCTTTCTACAACCGACTGCACCTGTGGACAACTAGATGTGATTAGTTTAAAAGTTATAAATATGTACTGCCTTAATGATAATCTACAGTAACTGAACTCCGACTGCATCAATGTCACAAAAAAGTAAAACTTGAGACTTTTACGGGTATAAAACCACTCCTGGATCCGATGGATGTTCGCAGCACGTCATCCAAACGCCACCATTTCTCGTGCAGGTACAAAGCCACGACTGGATAGAAGCAGCAGATCAAAACGCATCAAAGTTGATCTGATTTAGGACGTTTATTCAACGGAGATCAACGCAGTTCAGCTCACAACCTTGTGTTTGATCATCAGGAGGATGAAGCGCCAGCACCGCACAGGCAGGGTGGTCGTCCTCAAACAGCTGCAGCTGGCTTACACTGGCTGTCGTTATGGCAACCTGTGCAGAGAGGAGGACATTTTAACTGTTTAAAAGGACAAAGGTCTTATTTGCTATGGAAGAAAGTAATAAACTCTTGATTATTATTTATCTTGTATTTTTTACGACCCCCGGTAGCAATCCCAGCTAAACTCATACATAAAAGCATAATACTTCACAGTGATTTAGAGCTGATTGGTTTATCAAAACCCTTCTGTTGTGTTAGGGTCAAAATTGACCCGTTTTCAAGTTTAACTGTGTAAAAAGTACACTTTCCCTTTTTGTCCTGGAATGAGGCTTCAACTAACCCTCAGACGCACCTGTTGAAATGCAGTAAAATCAGTTTTCACAATTTTAGTAAATTCTAAAGGTCTCAAAAAAATAAAAAAAGTTACATCTGTGGTGTTACGGGTCCAAAATGACCCGGCAGAGAAAACTGGCTGTTGTATGCATCACTTACAAGCTATGGGTTGCTCTGAGGATCAAATTATGGTTTGTTTTCATTGTTTCCATTGTTTAGCCCTTTGATGCATAATAGTCACTACAGTGGACAGGTACTCAAAATTGTTATTTCTTTATTTTTGCTATTAAGCACAGCTGTTGAAGACTTTATTGCATGTAAGCCTCTCCATTTGGACTTCAGTAAGTCAAGCCACCATATTTCATGTTCAGAATGCACGTTGTACACTGAGATGGACATGTAATAAATTATTTGTAAATTAACAAAATGGTACAAAAAATATTTGTTGAAATTTGTTTCATTCACACCTAAAGATGAATGAAAAAAATTGTTTAAAAAATCATGGTTGAAGATTTCATAATTCATGCATCAAAGGGTTAAATTATGGTTCATTCAGAACAACATACCTGCGCTAACACCATATTATTTTCAATGTTCAGTTTATGGTCAATGCAGGTGCATGTGTGCACACACAACCACACACTCCGTGTTGTTTATCATTGTTCATTTTATGGTTAAATTGTTTGGTTAATTGGTCTGGTTAAATAAAAGTTAGTTTTATGGAAACAAAATTTACTTGTTATCTTTATCCTACCATTTAATTGAATTCAAGTTTATTTATAAAGCGCCAAATCACGACAAGAGTCGTCTCAAGGCACTTCACATAATAAACATTCCAATTCAGGTCAGTTCATTAAGCCAATCAGAAATAATGTTTCCTATATAAGGAACCCAGCAAATCGCATCAAGTCACTGACTAGTGTCAGTGACTATACAGCAATCCTCATACTAAGCAAGCATGTAGCGACAGTGGAGAGGAAAACTCCCTTTTAACAGGAAGAAACCTCCAGAGAATCCTGGCTCAGTATAAGCAGCCATCCACCACGACTCACTGGGGATGGAGAAGACAGAGCACACACACACACACACACACACACACACACACACACACACACACACACACACACACACACACACACACACACACACACACACACACACACACACACACACACACCAAGCAATGTGGCTATGGTTACATTGTGATTTCTTAGTAAATATTCTATTTGGCGAGAGATAAACTTTATTGTATTTATCTAGGCGGGTCCATTTTGACCCGAAACACCAAAGATGCCACTAGTGTTAGTCATTTTTAAATAGTAAAAAAAATTACATTTTTTTTGGGTAGGTGTACTCTAATATTAGTTTATAACACATTTATAGTTGATTATTACTCATTCTATAAGGAAAAAGAAATATATTTAGTGAATTTAAACAGTTTTTGCAGTAACAAACGAGTGGTATATTTTAAAATACTGCGTCTGTGGAGCCAACTAAAAAACCATTCACACACTGGTTCCATTTATATGAATACATACAAAGCCAGCAATTAGCTTAATAACAACATTTGAAGAAAACTGGTGATTTTAAGCATTTTCACGCATTTTTAAATCATGGATCCAAATGGACCCGCTAACACCACAGGTGTAAACAGCTTTCTAACACAATACAAGGGTTAAATCAACACCTAAAATCTATTTTGTGGGTTTGTTTCATGGCGGTGTCAATCACTTTGTTTTGGGGTAAAATATTAAATATTTGTTGATTTTAGTTGCTACGTCTGATTTTCCATTTGGCAACTGAAAACTGATCAAAACAAAGACTTAAACTGCTTTTTAAACCTAAAATCTATCAGAGAACAGAAAAGATGATTTCACCTGTAATTGTTGGGATGACTGAAACCAATCAACGCAAGGTGTTGCGTTTAAAGACGTCAGGTAAAGTTCAGACGCAGATGTCAGTTCAGTGTCCTCCACCGGCGGCAGATCAACAGGATACATGCTGTTTTAGGTCAGATAAAGGTGATAACACGGCAACAGGTGCATTTACAACATTAATGTAGCTATTCGCACCCATACAGCATTATAAATGATGTATTATAATGTCTAAGAAAATAGAATGTTTGGGTTTTTAGGAGACCTGAAAAAACTCGTAGCGTCAGAGATTTTGTGATTTGTTCGTTTTGCTACTCCTGTTTTTTTCCCAGAAAACGGCGTTATTTACAAAACAAGAACAATAAAATGACATGACGTCACTGAAAATGTTCGTAGCGGCAGAAACAGTGTGAAACAGTTTATTTAAAAAATCACTTACTGTATTTTTATAGCGAAAGAATGACTTACCTGTAGGATTTAGTCTACGTGAGAACTTTGAGTTCACGTTTGTGTTTTATTTGTTTTGGGCTGCAGCGCCATCTGTCGACAGAAACGGATCCGCAAGTAGGATTAACCGGAAACATAAATGAGTAGGCTTCAAAGTAAAAGCACCTAGTAAGCTGGACTAAAAGAGAAAACGCTTTCCCAATTCACAACCCAAACAGAAGTGTTTACAATTCAGTTAGACTACTTACATAAGGGATTAAACACACCCCATTCCGTTTACACGAAAGCTGGGGCTTAATTGATTAATTTGTTTATTTATTTTGAAATTATAAAAGCGGAAGCATTTGCGTGTTTGCCTCCTAACCGCGTGAACTTTACTCGCCAAGAACTGTCGGTGACTGACTTTCATGGTCAAAACCATGTTGCTCGGGCTGAGACCAAGCAGGCTGGTGCCGGGGCTTCGGCGTTGCCTCCTCCAGTGTCGCAACGTTAATTCAGAAAACACCGCGAGGGTGAGTTAGCTTGAAAATACCTAAAGGTAAACAGGTGAGTTTCACGCGCTGGTGCAGGACGCTGTGTACAAATGAACGAGACCGAACGCAGCGAACCAAAGGTTGGAGTGCAGAAAGGGACCCTGTGTTTTATCAGGAACATAAACCCGTGCAGTGTTGCAGAACATGTGCGGTACACGTTAATGTATTTATCGTTATTGTGACCAAATTGATCACGGTTTTCGGTATTATCGCGGTATTTTTTTTTAACGTGTTACATTTTCAGACAACTAAGTAAGCCCAGTATATCAGGAAAATATTGTCCTCAGTTTGTTTCTAAATTTTGCTTAAACTTTATTTTGTAAATATTTTGTTTATTTGTTTACATTTTGCCCTTTAGTCTTTAAAATACCAATATTTGCCCATAACTTCTTATTTTATGTCTGTTTGATGTCATCATTTTAAAAATATTAGATCAGATGATACTCAGTACTCAAGTAGCCTTCTAATCAGATACTTTTTTACCCTTACTTGAGTAATAAACCCTATATCAGGAAAATATCGTCCTCGGTTTGTGTCCTTCCAGTGAGCTTTTCAGATGTGGGAAAATGTCATCAGGCAGTAATCATTGTTAAATTCATAATTATTCTCGGAGAGAGACCAACTCTTATCTGCCCCTGGGAGCCCCGTAATGCATAGCGTCATTTCAACATGGCGGTGTCCGCGACACGGTTTATATGCAGGTAGCGGCGCTGCGGCTGCTTTATATAGCGACTCGTTGCATTCTCCCTCAACCCAAATCCTCGGATCACGCATTTTAGCTAAAATGCTAACGTTAGCTTGCCTTGCGTTGACTGTAGAGTTGTGGGTGATGGTCACGCAGATGTGTCATGAGATTTGAAGCGTTGCTGCCTCTCACAGACACTTTTTCTGCACGTGCTGCAAACAGGATAGCCGTCTTCTATCAGCTGTCCCTCGGCATTCTTCAAATATCCAAAAAATGCCCGTACTTCCGACTTTGTCTTCTTTGAGGGATAATAAATGTCCTGAGCGCTGCCGTCTCCTCCTTTGGCCATTATTTCAGCTTTAGCTTCAAGAAAGTTTTGGTTGTAAACAACAAAGTGCGCATGTGCCGCCGGCAACTTCAGCTGATGATACGGTGGCTGGTAAGGGTCACCGCGCCTACACCGCGCCTACGGTAATCCACCGAGATAATATATATATTTTTAAAACAAAACGGTTATTATTATTGTCAACTTTTTTACCGGGGTTTACGCCACACCGGTTACCGTGACAACCCTAGTTTCTACTTTGATTTTACTTGTCCTAGTTCTAATTAGACTATTTGTTATGTTGCACGTATATTTTTTCTCCACCTTGCGACATTTGTTTATTAAAATCTGTGTTGATGCGCTCACTCTTCCAAAGCAGGATATTCTACTTCATTCTAACAAAGATAACTGGACTTGTTCAAATATCAGATTTATTCATCTTAGGTGTGTTCTTGCTGTGTCTTTCTAATTCCATACTTTCGTTCTTTTTTAAACACAGAAACAGTTTTGTTTACCTGTTTTGTAGCTACAGTTTCGCCGACGGCTGCCGGCTTCTTCAGGCTGACGCTGATGGTGGCGCATCACTTCCTTCTCCGTTTATCTGCGGGCAGCAGAGGATCATAACCACCGAACAACAAAAATACAAAAGATGGATCAAGGAAGCAATCGAGATAAGGAGACGTGGATGTGGGACCATGAACAGGGACGACGGAGTTTACACGCTGGACCACGCATGGGACTGCATCGTCGGAGAGGGGAGAGCGGGCAGTAGAGGGCGACAACGTCCTCTGCTGCCCGCAGATAAACGGAGAAGGAAGTGACGCGCCACCATCAGCGTCAGCCTGAAGAAGCCGGCAGCCGTCGACGAAACTGTAGCTACAAAACAGGTAAACAAAACTGTTTCTGTGTTTAAAAAAGAACGAAAGTATGGAATCAGATTTATTTCTATAGAACAATTAGATGAACCGAGCTTAAAATCTACAAAAGCTCCAGTAACATTTTTATGTACTTAATACGTTTTATTAATAAGTCTTTCACAAATTGTTCTAGTTTTGTTTGTTTAAATATCTGCTTTGGGTACTTTATTCATGTGAAAGTGGATTTCTAGCATTGTTGCATTATGGCATCTGACGTGTTTGTACTTTTAAAGACCTACAATAACAGCACAAAGGTGGATTTGACACATGATCTGTCTGCACAGAGGGCTGCTGTGGACCGGGTTCTGTCTGCGTTCAGGTCCATATGTGGTCCGGACGGCGTCTCGCTGGGAGAGGCGGTCAGAGAGCAGCACGGTAAAGACGAGTCCGTACACAAGTAAGTCGTTCCCCGGTGACTAAAACAAGCTGGTGTGAACGTGCTGACAGCTGATGAACCTTTGAACGCCGCTGTCCAGATGTCGACCCCCAGATGTGGTGGTGTTTCCACGCTGTGTGGAGGAGGTCAGCGCACTGGCCAAGGTCTGCCATGATCACAACCTTCCCATCATTCCCTTTGGCACTGGGACGGGCTTGGAGGGAGGCGTCGGCGCTGTGAAGGTCTGCAGAAATGGACTCTTCTACTGAACAGCAATTAGTGCAGTTATGTTTTAATTCCAATTTCTGAAATGCACGATTGTGTCGTTTTACTGTAAACTAACCTCATTCCCCAGGGGGGCGTGTGCTTCAGCCTAAGGAACATGGACCAGGTCCTGGACCTTCACCCAGAGGACTTCGATGTGACGGTGGAGCCTGGTGTGACCCGGAAAGCCCTGAATGCTTACCTGCGTGACACCGGACTCTGGTTCCCCGTGGGTCAGTCCCAGTTTTACGGTGCTCCAGCTCTAGTGAGATGCAGATTTATGGAACCGTTTGTTTATCTCAGATCCTGGAGCAGATGCTTCCTTGTGTGGAATGGCTGCCACCAGTGCATCTGGCACCAATGCAGTGCGTTACGGGACCATGAGGGAAAACACTCTGAACCTGGAGGTGGTTTTGTCAGATGGGAGGATTATACACACAGCTGGAAAAGGTCGACGTCCCAGGTGTGGATCAGCTGTCACATTTCCATGTTTAGATGTTGTTTGTTGAGACGAACAACCTCGTTTCTTTGATTTCGTCGGTCTTCAGGAAAACCTCGGCGGGCTACAACTTAACGAACCTGTTTGTGGGTTCAGAAGGCACCTTGGGGATCATTACCAAAACTACGTTACGCCTGTACGGCATCCCAGAGGCCATGGTGTCGGCGGTCTGCTCGTTTCCCTCCATCCAGGCTGCGGTGGACAGCACCGTCCAGATTCTCCAGGCTGGGGTCCCCATCGCTCGCATCGGTGAGGAAGAACGAGAAAAGCTGAAAATAATCTGTGATTTTAAGAATTCTTGTGAAAATCATGATGTTTTTCTATAAAACCATTTGAACATCATGAGAAATTAGCTTTTTGAATTTTAAATCGTGCATGACTAGGGATGGGTATCTTTGACATTTGAATCGATCCGGTACTAATTCCCGGTACCTAGGAATCGATACCGGTACTTAACGGTACCAATTTTCGATACTTTTGAGTGTTTAATATTTTAATTCTCTTTTATAATTAAATATATATTTTTCTCAATATATAACCATATTTGATAAATATCACGATAAATAACATACAACTGTTTGTATTTTAACATCGTCCTTGTAGTTTTATAAGCTGATAATTAAACTGAAGCAAACATCTTTACTGTGAACTAAATTTACTGTGCATCTTCATTCCTTTTGCCGTCCTTTTTCATTTGATTTTTCCTACTGGGAAGTTAGAATTTCCGAGGAGAAAGCGAACGCACCATTAGCTGATAACAATGGTGGCAATGGAAGCTAACGTGTCAAGCTAACGTTATCTTAAACAGTCTATTTAGCTGCTGGAGCAGATTAAAACGATGATGCCTCACACTTAGATCGTTGTCGCTGGTTTCATCATCACCCAATCACCCGTCACATTTAGTAAAGTGAAGCCAAACTTTAGAGCGCGTCCATGTTCTTCTAGTCGGAGATTCTGAGTTCCGAGGAGAAAGCGAACGCACCATTAGCGAAACGGAAGCTAACAAATCAAGCTAACGTTATCTTAAACATTTTATTTACCTACCGGAGCAGATTAAGATGAGGATGTCTCACTTAGATCGTTGTCGCTGGTTTCATCATCACCCAGTTACCCATCACATTTAGTGAAGTGGACCCAAGCTTTAGCGTGCGTTCTTTCTACCATGCTGCTCTGTTTACAACTCGCTCGCAGCGACCGACGACATAACGCTCTTGCGCATGCGCAGCTGTCTAGGCAAGTTCTCGTTATGAAGGACGGGTACCGAAACGAGGCACCGTTTCAAATGACGTGAATCGGTGCTCGGTCGGTACTATGGAATTCGGTCGCTACCTTAAAAAGTACCGAATTAGGTACCCATCGCTGTGCATGACTAAATATTCAAGGCTACTACAGAAGATAAAAGAGGCAGAAAGCAGACCAGCATTAGAGACTAACCCCAAAATTCCACTACCTCCGCTCCGCTCCGCTCCGCCCCCGCTTTCCACAGCCGCTCGCTTCCGAACTCAATTTTTACTGGTACCCGCTCTACAACGGCTCCGCTCCGGTGCGGAGACCTGAGGTGCGCAAACAGGCATGCGCGGGATTTTCGAGATCTAGCGATACAGTCCGAGCAATAAATGCGGAAGTTGGATCCAAACACCCGTTGTGTGGGAGAAGCATCGGCATGAACTGTTTAATCTGCCCATCATTTGTGTTGAGAGATCAGCAGTGTTTGGATCAACAAAGGGTGACTACTTTGATAGTAGAAACTGTATTTATGGCTTACTTCTGTGCATTTAAAGTTCAACCGCCATTGATAGTTGTTATAAGTTGTTAAACCTGTGCGTATGAAACAAAAAACGCCTTTTGTTTATCGATTTATTGTGAAAAACGGAAGCTGGGCTTGCTCCCTTTCCTGTTGGGCCGTTGTGGTTTCTGTCCATTGACTGCGGAGGTGTTCCACCGTCCGGCAAAAATAGGATCGATCCTATTTTTTGCCGGACGGTGGAACGGCGGGCGGCCGCAGTAGTGGAACAGCTCTGATTGACTACAACGGGACCGTTTTTGCTGCGGAGTTCGTGCCGGAGCGGAGATAGTAGAATTTTGGGGTAAATCTTATTGATCAGCTTCCTGCAGCTGGAGATAACAGAATCCTGGTGAGAGGAAATTATCGTGAAGAAAAAGATCAATATGGATTTAAAAAAGCTGAAAAATCATTAAAGTAATGACCTGTGTAGATGTGTGATGCTGGATCGTCTGTGTCTTTGTCTCGTTTGACTTTAGAGTTTCTGGATGATGTAATGATAGATGCGTGCAACCGGTTCAGCTCCCTGACCTATCCCGTGCTCCCGACGCTTTTCCTGGAATTCCACGGATCTGAGCGGAGCCTGGAAGAACAAGTCGCCACAGCTGGTGTGTGTGTGTGTGTGTGTGTGTGTGTGTGTGTGTGTGTGTGTGTGTGTGTGTGTGTGTGTGTGTGTGTGTGTGTGTGTGTGTGTGTGTGTGTGTGTGTGTGTGTGTGTGTGTGTGTGTGTAAAGTTATCACAGGATGACCACAGATTCAGTTAGATGGGTTTCCTTCGGCGCTGCAGAATAAGTAGAAACATCGAGGGTAGAGTGAAACAGCTGGGATGTTTGGTTAAACTGATTACAGAAATATTAAAACATTGTGATGAATTTATTAATCTGTTTATAATGTGTGTGCTTCTGCAGAGGAGATCGCCCAGAGTAACCACGGTTCCGATTTTCAGTGGGCTCGAGACGCAGAAACACGAAGCCGGCTGTGGAAAGCCCGACACGATGCCTGGTACGCCGCGCAGGCGCTCCGAGCTGGCAGCAAGGTAAACGGGTCCGGGAGCCCGCCCGCTCACACACACACGCACACACACACGCGCGCACACACACACGCGCACACACACACGCGCGCACACACACACGCGCACACACACACGCGAACACACACACGCGAACACACACACGCGCGCACACACACGCGCGCACACACACACGCGCACACACACACGCGCACACACACACGCGCGCACACACACACGCGCACACACACACGCGAACACACACACGCACACACACACGAACACACACACACGCGCACACACACACACGAACACACACACGAACACACACACACACACACGTGCGCACACACACACACACGAGCACACGCGCACACACGAACACACACACGCGAACACACACACACATGCCCACACACACGCGCACACACCAACACACACACACACATATGCCCATACACACGCGCACACACCAACACACACACACACATATGCTCACACACACGCTCACACACACATGCCCACACACACGAACACACGCACGCAGACACACACACACACACACACACAGCAGATTGAGGAACTGAGCACTAAACAACAGTACTGCCTGGTGATGTTACTGTTGCTGTTATGACTGGATTTGGAGAGTCTGCCTTCATTTTTATTTTATTGTTTGATGTTGTTTTATAACTCTGGAAACGAATGAAAATGAAAAAATGGTTTAATTGAAATAAACCCTGAAAGCAGTTTACTAGAGGTGTGTGTGTGTGTGCGTGCGCATTTGTGTGTTTGTGTGTGTGTGCGTGTGTGTGTGCATGTGTGTTTGTGTGCGTGTGTGTATGTATGTGTGTGTGTGTGTGTGTTTTTGTGCGTGTGTGTATGTATGAATGTGTGTGTGTGTGCGTGTGTGTGTGTGTTTTTGTGCGTGTGTGTATGTATGTATGTGTGTGTGTGTGCGTGTGCGTGTGTGTGTTTGTGTGCGTGTGTGTATGTATGTATGTGTGTGTTTGTGTGCGTGTGTGTATGTATGTATGTGTGTGTGTGTGTGTGTGTGTGTGTGTGTTTTTGTGCGTGTGTGTATGTGTGTGTGTGTGCGTGTGCGTGTGTGTGTTTGTGTGCGTGTGTGTATGTATGTATGTGTGTGTTTGTGTGCGTGTGTGTATGTATGTGTGTGTGTGTGTGTGTTTTTGTGCGTGTGTGTATGTATGTATGTATGTGTGTGTGTGTGCGTGTACGTGTGTGTGTTTGTGTGCATGTGTGTATGTATGTATGTGTGTGTGTGTGTGTGTGTGTGTGTAGGCTTACTCCACAGATGTGTGTGTTCCTCTGTCTCGGCTGCCTCAGATCATCGTGGAGACGAAGGAAGACCTGCTTGAGAGCCGGCTAACTGGTGAGTGTGGGGGGGTTAGGGTTGGGGGACATTATGGGAATATTAATCTACGGAGGTTTAATCCTAAATCAAACTGTTGGTTTTATTTTTGTTTGTTGCTTTTAATGTTTCCTGCTGCAGGAAAAGATTAAAGATCAAACGTCTAAGCGTGTTTGTGTTCTGCTTCAGGGCCGATCGCGGGTCACGTGGGCGACGGTAACTTCCACTGTCTGATGGTCGTGGATCCCAACGACCCGGATGAGCAGCACAGAGTCCACCTGTTCGCCGAGAGGTTGGCCAGGTAACGAGCTCCTGAGCCCAAACTCTAGTCTGCACACTTGTGTGTTCTTGTCGTAAACCAGGATTTCTGACTTTTCCTTCTATGAAATCTGAAGTTCAGAATATCTTTGTTGGATTTTTCTGTGTCCTCCACAGGCGAGCGCTGGCCATGGGTGGAACCTGCACCGGTGAGCACGGAGTGGGTTTGGGAAAGAGGGTTCTGCTGCAGGAGGAGGTCGGACCTCTGGCCATCCAGGTCATGCAGGGTCTCAAAGAAACCCTCGACCCAAAGAACCTGATGAATCCTGGGAAGATCCTGCTGCAAGGAGACCCTTAGGTCTTATTTTAGTTTAAGGAATTACGAAATGATGATCAGATTTAAACTCTAGAAGGAATCGCTGAAGCTGTGTGTCAGGAATGTAGGTGATAAAACTTAGTTTCCTTGACTTTGTTTGTTTATTTTGTCTTGATACCAGGACACTCGAGAAACCGGACCTGATAATAAAACACAGCGATGATTAAATGATTATATTATAAACTTTAGAAATGCGTCTGATGCTGCTGGATTTTAAATCTCATTTTGACCGGATTTCTGTAAAGAAATCTAATTTAAGTGGTTTGAAAGGAAAACGTTTGTTTCTTGGTGTGTGAATATGTTGAGAACATATTAAATCTTTACCTCATTTCAAAGTTCTTGGAGGTTCCTCAGCTATCACGGAGGGTTTTAATCTGCCTGGAGCTTCAGTTTGTCTTATTTTATTTAAATTTATTAAGCTATAAGGGCAACAATCCATTCAGTCTTCTGTAATATTCAGTTAAAACATAAAAGCCTATTTAAAGATTTCGAACAGAATACATTTTATTGTTTTTATTTTCAGGTCTTATTATTATTATTATTATTATAAATTATGAAGCAGTAATTTAACTCAAAACATTTCTAGGAGAAAAAGTGTTTTATAGTTTAAAAGTTTTAAACAGCAAAACCTCAAAACATATATATATAAATATTTATGTATATATATACATAAATATTTATATATATATATAAATATTTATGTATATATATACATAAATATTTATATATATATATATTTATATACAAATAAATTTATATATATATAATATATTTATATGTATATAACCCACCAGGACCGGTGGCGCCTGTGCTCGGCAGCCTCGCCTCTGTCAGTGCGCCCCAGGGCAGCTGTGGCTACATCGTAGCTCATCATCACCAGTGTGTGAATGTGTGTGTGAATGGATGAATGATACACTGTAGTGTAAAGCGCTTTGGAGTCCTTACTCTGAGAGGCGCTATACAAGTGCGAGTCATTTATCATTCATATATATATGTATATATATGTATGTATATATATATATATATATGTATGTATATATATATATATATATATACATATATACATATATATGTATATGTATGTATGTATATATATATACATATATATATATATATATATATGTGGCAAGGTGGATAAACGAGGGCCCGGGCGGGATTCGATCCCCAGACTCCCGGGTGAGGGTCATACGCTCTAACCAGTCAGCCAAAGGGACATCCCCTTGGCCAAGTTGCCAGGGCGCATGATCAATCGGGACACTGTAACAGGACACTCACACTGTCACATATACACATATATATATATATATATGTGTGTATGTATACATACATATATGTATATATACGGTATATATATATATATATATATATATATATATATATATATATATATATATATATATATATATATATATATATATATATATATATATATATATATATATATGGCCCGGGAGTGATTAGATCCCCAGAATCTCGAGTGAGAGTCATGCGCACTTACCAGTCAGCCAAGTAGCCAACTGTGACAGGATGCTCACACTGTCACATGCATATATATATATTTAAATAAATGCTGCTATATGTGACTTTAATTCAACAACACCTCCCTGGAAACAAACGGGGACAGCAGAATGACAAAGTCACACGAAAACATCAATTTTTTTTAAACCGGACAGAAACAGCCTGAAAGGCGCAGTACCCAGTTCCACCACACGGTGTCAGCAGTGTCACACACATGGATGATTTTATTAGATGGACTAAATAAAACGCGCGTTTCTGCCTCACTGGGTTGTTGGATGCAGTTGCAGCTCACAGTCGTTAACTGAGCATTAAGAATGAGATTACCGCAATCTGAGATTCTGAGTTACAATAAAACAACTAACATATTCTATAGTTTTATAAATATTGATATTATTCACATTCTCCATGGTGGACCTTATGCTTCTATAATCATGGTTTAAACAGCTCTTAATGGTTGTTTTAAATGAGTCATTAACTAGAAAAATAAGTAAAAAATAAACTAAAAAGTAAATGATATAGCGCCTTCTGGAACCCCCCAAGGCACTTTACAACACAGTCATTCACCCATTCACACACTGGTGGGGATGAGCTACGATGTAGCCACAGCTGCCCTAGGGCGACAGAGGCGAGGCTGGTGAGCACTGGCGCCACCGGTCCCTCCGACCACCACCAGCAGGCAACGTGGGTTAAATGTCTTGCCCAAGGACACGACGACAGCGACAGACTGAGCGGGGCTCGAACCTGCAACCTTCTGATTACGGGGCGAGCGCTTAACTCCTGTGCCAACGTCGCCCAAGTATCAAGTATAAATAAATAAGGAGAATGTGAAAACTTAGTTTCTCTATTATTATTATAATTCCGTCTTTCAGCCCCAACAGAGGACCAATCCTCTCCTCCTCCATCTCTACCTGTGGGGCAGAGCCTTCCCTGGCTAGCCTGGACACATAACACCTCCAGTGTCCTGGGTTGACCTGGGGACATCCTGACCATGCCTGAACCACCTCAGCTGGAGAAGCAACAGATACTCCGAGTCTTTCCCAGATGTCCGAGCTCCTCTCTATCTCTAAGGAAGCTCACTTTGAAGAGAGAGAGAGGTGAAGAAGGTCATACAAAAGCCAGCTTGAACAAGTGAGTCTTCAGCTGCTTTTTAAAGGAGACCACTGAGTCCACTGATCTCAGGCTCAGGGGGAGAGAGCTCCAGAGTCTGGGGGCCACAGCAGCAAACTTCAGTCAGAAACAGAGAATTCAGGTTTTTAGAGAGAATTAGATCATTGAGCAGGAAGGACTTATTGTTAACAGAGCGGGTGTTTAATAGAGCCATGCTGAGTGAGGTGGAGGAATCAGAAAGTACAGAAACAGCTGGAGTTAGTGGACGTAAAATAGCAGGGTTAGATCCACGGTGTTTATAAAAACCACTTATGGAGGGAACAGGAGGAGAAACCACTGAGGAATGAGGATAAACCGACCTTTACAAACTTGGACGGATGAACCGTGTCCCAACGTGTCCTGGCGGGAATATGGAAGTGGCGCTCAGGTCACCAAACAAAGGAAGAGAAGCTAGAAGATCACGCCGATGTTTACTAGGTAAACCACACTTTAAGAGAAGTCTTATCCTCACCTGGATTCCTGCTCGTTTACCTCTTTACCTCTGACGTTTTCCCGGGACCGGATAAACATCGCTGGAGGCGCGCAGATCGGGACCGTCGTTTGGCTCCGGGCCAGCGCGCCGCTCAGGAAAACAAACAGGATGGTACGTCCTCGGTGCATCTTGGGCGATCGTGAACGAACAGAATGACAAAAGAGTCTGGCGATCATAGGAGATGGTAGCAGGGACACTACTGAAGAGGATCGCAGACAGGAGCAAGGTGGAGAAGGGGAGGTTAGTGGAGAAAAGTTTGAAAAGTGGCCGGTGACCGCGGCGAAGCCAAACACAGGCGCCATCTTGTTTCCCACCGGAAGCGGAGATTGAGTGAGTCGCCGCCTTCTCCTCGAGACACTGAACGGTTTCCCAGAACCAATTTGGAGCAGCTCAAGGCTTCATCCATATCCTCCTCAAAGCAGAGGCAACTGCTACTGCTGCTCACCGCTTGGCCCTCCGGTACCTGCTGCTGCTTCACACCAAGCACGCCCCGTAGGCCTTCTTAGCCTGAAGCTCCTCTAACCTATAGTGTCCACCAGCCTTTTAAATAAATGAAGACCTCAGATATGATCTCAGTTCTAAAACACGGTAAATTTGACCTTTTTATTTCCTTATTGCCATCTGCTGGAGGATTCTTCCTGTTAAAGAGGAGTTTTACTCTCCACTGTCATTAAATGCTTGCTTGGTATGAGGATTGCTGCAAAGACACTGATGCAACAAGTCAGCGACTCGATGCAATCTGCTGGTTTTTTTTAGGAAACTTTGAATAGCAATAATAAATTGATCTCAGTGGACTGAAAAGTTCAATAGGAAGGTTGATAAAGCACCTTGAGATTACTTTTGACACATTTTTGTTTGTCTTGTTTTATCTACTTTTTGGACCATGTAAATGCTATATAAAGAAACTTCTTCTTCTTTTTATGGAGCGTTGTTGCGCCCAGTAGCATGTTTAGCGTGTTGAATAGATTTAAATCAGACACAGAAAGGAAACTATTAGCAAGTTTTTCTTCACTGACGGTGATTTTGTGTCTGTTGCTGCTCTCTGTGCTCCTCAATTTATATTAAACTGACTCTGTGTGTGTGTGTGTGTGTGTGTGTGTGTGTGTGTGTGTGTGTGTGTGTGTGTGTGTGAGTGTGTGAGTGATTATGCCTGAGCTAGGGACCTTTTATAGACCTGCTGTCCTCATATCAGGACAGATTAATACACCTCCTGTTTGACGGTTAGCGTCCAACCACAGCTTCCCTTTTTTGGTAGCGAGACGGAGACAAAATATCTGAGACATTATTTCTGTGACAGTGAAAAAAAAACATAAACATAAACATACTGAAGGGTTTTAATCGTTTCTAATCACAGGCTGACAAATTCACCCAAAATAGTTTGCATGTAGATGTTGTAAATGAATAATCACAGTGCCAGTGTCAAGTTTATTTATGAAGCACATTTAAATACAAAGATTGCCCAAAGTGCAGGTTTTTAAGTTTGATAAAAATCCTGCAGCAGTGACCCCGAGATAACCTTTTTGTGCATGAATACAGTTTGTATATCACAACATCACCTCCCCCTCGGGGGTCACGGACCCCCAGATTGGATGCATCATTGGACGTTTAAATAACAGTTTACTTAATTAGTTTGTTGTCGTTTAGTTGTAAATACGTTTATAAGACGCGTTTGTGTCAAATCAACCCGGTTTTTACATTTGTGATTACCATCTAGCGCTTTCAACGGACATGTTTGTGTTTTAAATCAACAAACAGAAATAAATCCTCACCTGTGCGTTAAAGCTCACGCCTGCCATGAATTATCCTGAAAGGCCCCCATAATCTAATCCAGCAGATCACACCCCCACCGCGGTAGAGGATCCGGGCCAATCCGATGCTGAGGAATGGAAACAGTGTTGTCGCGGCACCGTCTCCAGTCTGTTTTTATGAGCGGAGTTTGCGCACTGAGCGCGTCTATTGTCTGGAAGCGGCGGCGCGGCGGAGCGGAGGAGCGCAGCGCCGATCTGGGAGCGCAGGGGAGCGGCTTCTTGTGACTCCGATGTCCGGGGGAGGAACACCGATTGCTGCCAGGAACGGAGCCCACCGGACGGGAGCGCGCTGACTGAGACGACGTCACCCAGCCCCCATAGACCGTCTCTTCTCTCCGGCGGCCAGACAGACAGCAACAGTTGTCACGATGTCTGAGGCCAGATGAGGCGAAGCGGCGGAGCGAACGCTGCGGCGCTGCTGCGATCCGGACCGGGCGGTGCTGCAATGATCCAGCCGTAAAGGCACCGGGACGGCGCGGAGGAGAGAGAGAGAGAGAGCACCTGGCTAATCGAACCGGGATCCAGCTCAGCTCCGGTTCGGTCGCGTCCTGATCGATTTGTGTGTGTGTGTGTGTGTGTGTGTGTGTGTGTGTGTGTGTGTGTGTGTGTGTGTGTGTGTGTGTGTGTGTGTGTGTGTGTGTGTGTGTGTGTGTGTGTGTGTGTGTGTGTGTGAGGTGAATCCGGACGCGCGGCTGGCTCATGTTCCGCTCGGCGGGGAAACGCGCTGTTGCGTCTGCAGAGAGCTGACGATCCCGCGGAGACTCACGGACAGACAGACGGTCAGGCCGAGAGGCAGACAGGAGTGAGGGAGGGGGGCGACAGCCTGTTTGGGCTCTCTCGACCCTTTGCGGATCGAGCCGAGCCCCCTCCTGTTTCCACCCAGAACCCCCACCCACTCCTCCAGCTTTGGATGGGGGGGAAGCAGAGCACGGCAGGGCGGCCCCGGGGTGCTTTTCCCGGCGTCTCTTCGGATGACAGCGCGGTGCCACCCTCGGCCCACTTTGGTCACTACCGACCGAGCGGCACCATGGGCCTGCGGAGCCGCTCGGTGAGCTCCGTGGCTGGAATGGGCATCGACCACAGCTCCGCCATGCCCTTCGGCTTCTACACCCCCAGAGGGACGGACTCGGATCGGGGCGGAGGGGGCTCGGGGGGCACCACCGCGGCCCCCCACGGAACCGGCTACCAGGACACTGGCGGCGGGGGGCACCACACGGACGGAGTTCTGTATTTGGGGTCCCGGGGGTCGCTGGCTGACACCTTGCCCCTGCACATCGCGCCCCGCTGGTTCAGCGCGCACAGCGGTAAGACACACACACACACACACACACACACACACACACACACACACACACACACACACACACACACACACACACACACACACACACACACACACACACACACACACGATTGACCTGGTGATGTTATTGTTGCTGTTATGACTGGATTTGGAGAGCATGGCTCTGAAAGGTGCGCTCCACCTGCAGCATCTGTTGGCCATTGCTTGTTGTGTTATAACACAGATGACTAATAAGCCTGAAGCCAAATCTGGCTGAGTCAATTAGCCCTGCGATTAGGGATGGAGGAGGAGGGCTCAGAGCCTCCTTCCTTTCTTGGTGATCATCCTCTAACCCACAACCTGTTTTTGTCTTTGCCTGGACACACCTGGACACACAGGTATCACCTGGCCCGGTTTGCTGAGCTCCAGCTGAGCCCTAAAGTCACAATAAAATTAAAAAAAAGATCTTCTTTGGCAAACAGAACAGAACCAGCACTGAAGCTGAAACTAAATTCACACATTTTTTATTAGAATATATATATATATATATATATATATATATATATATATATGTATATATATATATATATACATATATATATATATATATATATATATATATATATATATATATATATATATATATATATATATGTGTGTATATATATATATATATATATATATATATATACACATATATATATATATATATATGTGTATATATATATATATATATATATATATATATATATATATATATATATATATATATATATATATATATACACTCACAAAATGAAAACCTGCAAGTGGTGCAAGAACATTTGTATTAATTAAGTTATTTACACAAATGTTTATTGTTTTTGCTCTGATTTTTACTGCTGATCTGTAGTCTCACCAAAAGGCTCAGAAATAAAGCTGAGGGACGTCATGAGCAGTTACGTGTCCTCTGATAACACCGGGTTTGCAGATCCCCTTGCTCTCATTACCAAAGCTCTGCCCAGCTCACAGCAGGAGGAAGGCAAGTCAGACGTCAACGTCTCAGCTGGTTTTACCGTCTCTGCATTGCCTAGCAACTCTGGATGTGCTTCTCTATCAGTGGGGGCAGATAACAATGCCAGACAAGGGGAGGGAGGCAGAAAAAAAACGAGGAAGGTGCTCAAAAGTAAATAATCTACAGGTGTGTTAATGGCTAAATCTCCGTTTTGATTCGATTTTGGTTTGATTCAACAGCATTTTCAGATGAGCTGTTCAACAGGTTCAACCAAACCCTTTAATAATCTTTAAATCCAACATAAAATGCAATTTAATACCCGTTTGCCTCCAAAGGATGCAAGGATTAGGATCTGGTTCTGGTTCTGCTGCTCAACAAAGATGAAGAGCCACAGATGTTTGAAAAACAGTCTCTAACCAAACCCAAGGAGACATAAAGAAGCCCCCGAGAGACACTAAATGACTGCATGGGTTTCCAGGAAGAAGCCAAACGACCAGAAATAAACACGATGCCGCGCCGACATTAAAGAAAGCACACAGTTCTGAGAAGATGCAGCTAGCTCACAAGCAGACGTAAGAGCAAGAGGTGCAAAATAAGCTATACGGAATAAACATGCAAACATCCACAGAAATCTCAGCAGCAGCACGTAACACACTTTATGGATGATAAAGCAAAGTCAAAATGACCCAGAAATGCAGACAAAATACCAAAAACATGTTCAAAAGAACCAAAAAGAACGATGCAAAGCTGGCAAACAAGCTGCAAATAAATGCAAAACAAAAACTCAATAGATGTTTTTCTGAAAGGCAAATTAACTGTTTAGTACATTTTCAAATGATAGAGACATGAGGGTATAATAGGAGACGACATGATGCTCCTAAAAAGCTCAGAAGCATCAAAGGATGGTTGAAAATAGTCACCAGGATTTGGTTGTTTTAGTGTTTTTGCATCTTGGTGAGTCCAATCTCCGTTTCAGGAATGATGGATGCACTTTTGTCACGTCTTCTGCACGTGTTCAGACGTTTAGACTCTGATTTGATGTTTGTGAGCAAGACTTTTTGGTTTTTCTGGGAACTCGGGTGCTTTCAGAACCTCAGCTGAGCCGTGTCACACAATCCGGAGTCCACATTGATTTTCCGGAGACCACTGGGATGGCTCAGCAGGCTGCTGCTGCAAACAGCTCCCGAGGGAAAACACATGTTGTCTGTGGCAGGAGCTTAGCTTCTCTGCATCACCTGGAATGCACTTTTATTTGGGTAAATTTTCGTTATTTTATGTAAGACAATAAAGCTTCTGCGTGTGAATTAGACAAGGAGCAGCATTCAGCGTGTGTGTGTGTGTGTGTGTGTGTGTGTGTGTGTGTGTGTGTGTGTGTGTGTGTGTGCTTCACACATGACCGAATCAGGGAACTCGGAGCTCTTCTGCACAGAATTATCCGGTTTCATGTACGGAAACTGCTCTCTGGTGTTCATGTCACCGGCTCCGACATCAGCTGGAAAAGTCCAACTTATGTTTAGTTTGTAGGTTGTGGAGAACACGAGCTCCAGGAACAATCAACTTTTGGATAATTTTCATAACAATGTAAGAAATTCCCAAAAAAAATTTTACAGATTAAAATGTTGAAAAACTATAAAACAAGATATTTCAAGTAGAAAATAGTAAAATAATATATTTTTTGCCATTTTGCTTGATGAGACATATCCGTTCACCTGTAATAGAATTAATCAATTATTCATTAGTTTATCATCTGGTTCACAAAATTGCAATGGAGCCTCAAATATCACTGGTTAACTAAATATTACAGAGAAATGCAGCAAAGCCGTCGTCATCGTCTTCCTCCGCTTATCCGGGTCCGGGTCGTGGGGGCAGCATCCCAACTAGGGAGCTCCAGACCGTCCTCTCCCCGGCCACCTCCACCAGCTCCTCCGGCAGGACCCCAAGGCGTTCCCGGACCAGATTGGAGACGTAACCTCTCCAACGTGTCCTGGGTCGACCCGGGGGCCTCCTGCCGGCAGGACATGCCCGAAACACCTCCCCAGGGAGGCGTCCAGGAGGCATCCTGACCAGATGCCCAAACCACCTCAACTGGCTCCTTTCGATCCGGAGGAGCAGCGGTTCTACTCCGAGTCCCTCCTGAATGTCCGAGCTCCTCACCCTATCTCTAAGGCTGAGCCCGGCCACCCTACGGAGGAAACTCATTTCGGCCGCTTGTATCCGCGATCTCGTTCTTTCGGTCATTACCCAAAGCTCATGACCATAGGTGAGGATTGGGACGTAGATCGACCGGTAAATCGAGAGCCTGGCTTTCTGGCTCAGCTCCCTCTTCACCACGACAGATCGGCTCAGCGTCCGCATCGCTGCAGACGCCGAACCAATCCGCCTGTCCATCTCCCGATCCCTCCTACCCTCACTCGTGAACAAGACCCCGAGATACTTAAACTCCTCCACTTGAGGTAGGACCTCTCCCCCGACCCGGAGTTGGCAAGCCACCCTTTTCCGGTCGAGAACCGTGGTCTCAGATTTGGAGGTGCTGATCCTCATCCCAAAAATGCAGCAAAGCAAAAAATAAATAAATAAATAAATAAAAGTTCAGCACCTTGGGGTTCCTGACAGGGTTTCGGAAGGCGCTTTATAAATAAAGCTTTGATTGATTGAAATAAATTGGCTTTTGACTGGAATCTAATAAGCAATGAAAAATCCCACATTTTCTCCATTTTGTGAAGGCATCATGGATGTAAATTCAAAGAGTCGGAGTACCCGGCCCGGAGGGTTACCGGGGTCCCACCCTGGAGCCAGGCCTGGGGTTGGGGCCCACGAGCGAGCGCCATGCCCGGCCGGGCCCAGCCCGAACCGGATACATGGGCTCATCCAACTGTGGACCCACCACCCGCAGGAGGAACATAAAGGGTCAGGCCAAACTCAGCGTGCATCGCGGTAATTCTCCTTCCATGAGATAAATCAGTTTCTGACAAAGTCGGGATCAGCAAGTTAAAAATGTTCTACTGAAGCAAATATTCAGGATTTGATTTGTTTCCTGGAGATCTAGACTCCAAACAGCTTGCTAATTATAGTTATATTGTATGTGTTGTGTTTAAGCGTTCTTATAGGTGTACAGGTCATTTACTGGAATCCAGCTGCTCACACTCCTTAGTGGGAGAAGATGTGCGTGAGATGTGGGAAGCGTGACCCGTTGTTGCTGGCTGTGTTAGCAGAGCAACTTTGAGTTCAGCCTAAAACTTTAGATTCAGTAAAAACAATTTCTGTTTGGCACGATCATCATTAGAAGCTTTTATTTCCTTCTTTGTCCCTTTGGATATTATTGTATTTTTCCTAAATTACAGTAAACTTGCAGACTTTTGGGAAAAGAATGCACCAAATTCTGGATTTTAAACCTTTTCCTAGAGAATTAGCTTTAGTCCTGATGTGGTTGGGAACAAATTCACCACTGATGCTAATAAACCTTTTCATCCACACGTAAAAAATGTTGTTTTTATTCTCTTGATGGATTTATCGTTGCTGTAGAGAAGCTTAAGTTGTTTATTTAATAATTTAAGTTGTTTATTTAATAATTTAAGTTGTTTATTTAATAATTTAAGTTGTTTATTTAATAACTTGGCCGTTAATCATTCAGCTCCAGGTTCCACCTTACTGTTTGTCCTTGGAAAGTTGGATGCGTGCGGAAAAATGTGTCACACCCTTACAGTGTGTGTGTGTGTGTGTGTGTGTGTGTGTGTGTGTGTGTGTGTGTGTGTGTGTGTGTGTTGGTGATAAAATTCAGGTTCTGTCTAATGTTAATTACAGGATAAATCATAGAGAGCTTTGTAGTTATGTTTGTTCTGGTTACACACCATGCATTGAGATTGCATTCTTTAATACAGAACACACACACACACACACACACACACACACACACACACACACGCACGCACGCACGCACACACACACACACACAGAAAGCTGCAGCAGTAAAGCCTCCTCCTCATGCATCTTCGGTCCGACGCAGGTGGAGGTCAAACTCGATGGGGTGC